AATTGACTTAATCCATCTGGCGGGGCTAAACAAGTGTTATTAAATAAATTTATTTTTTACTGTTTGCTTTGCAGGGCAATCCGTTAATGCAACAGTTGCCGCCAATCCCGCTCCACCAGGTTAATCCGAATGGGCACATTCCGTCCGGTATGGGTGGACGCGGTCGTGGACGTGGCCGTGGACGCGGCGGTGGTGGACAACGTCGCAATGATTATCACGGACAGCGACACATGCAACAGCAGCTGCAGTTGCAACCCCCACAGCAGCAGCTACCACCAGAGAGCGCAAGCCCCGCGCCAAGCTCCATGCAATTACAGCCGGAACAGATGGGTCAGCAATTGGCACCACCACCGCCGGCAGAGGCACAATTGCAGCCAATGTCCTACTATGCGCCGCATCCGTACGCTGGATATGGCGGTTATCAGGCGGCATACTTTGCGCCGCATCATGGCCCAATACAAGCTCCGCCAAATGCAGCAGCTGCTGCACATCAGGCCACGGGCACACCTCTGTTTATTTCACCAATGCCACTGTACAACGGAGCACAGATGTACAACTATATGGGCGGCTATTTCTATCAGCAAGTGCTGCCGCAGTCGGAGTATCAGTACGTGTCCGACGACGGTGGCCAAGCCCAGGGCGCCGTTGTCGATGAGCGTCAGGCGCAGCTGTGGCATCCAGCACATATGTATGCCGAAGAATATCCGGAAGTGGCGCAAGCGAATGGCGATGAACTCAACCACAATAGTTCCTCGCTGGCCTCCTCCGAAACGTCCAGCATGTTGAGTCCCAACTATCCCATTTACGATTCCCAGCAAATACACGAGATGCAGCAGCAAATGGGTGTTATGCAGATCTACGATGATGGTCAGCTGGCGCCTCTACAGGCAATGCATCCAGTAGCCGGTCCAGTGCCACAGGTAGGCACATAACTCGCATATCAATTTGTCTTCATTAACTCTTTACTATTCTAGTATGATGACGAACTATCGGACTGTGGGGCTGCGCCCGTTGGTGCCATACCTGTCGCTTGGACACTGCCTGATGCTCCGCCGCCGACAATGCTGGTGCAGGCAGCCCCTCCACATCATATCATTCAACCGCAGCCTCAGCCAGCAATTTGTATCGAACAGCAGCAGCAGCAGCAGCTGCCAGCTCATCCTCCTCAAACGGAAACACCCACCCCACAAGTCCCACAGGAAGCATTGGGTAAGTGCCACAAATTGATTATTTTTACTGATAAGCTGCATTTCATACGTGGGGCCTTTTTCGATACCACCGGATAACAGATAATAATTTTTTTTTGTATTTATATAATGATTTCCCCCGAATGATGAACGATTTGCGATAGCCTTCGTTAGGTATATTATCAATTTTGATTTAATCAGGCATGTCTCCAGTGACTTTTATGTGTCTGAATGAAAATTCAAATTACTTCATAGACTGTTTTTCAAATGAAATGAATATTCATGTCATGGGATAGCATTCCGGACAAGTAATGTGATTATTTAAATGCGCATTGATAAAGAACCTTCTAAAGATTCGATAAAACAGTGAACATTTATGAAAATTGTTTATTTTCAATACTCGTATTCTTTGTTTATGTCTCAACTTGCAAAAGTCGTATGAGACAGATACTATGAATATGCCAACAGATTAACATAAAGTTCGCAGTGTTAATTTTCAAAAAAGGGCATTCCGTTTGTTTATATAAAAAGCAAGTTATCTATCGCAACAATTCGTTTACAAATTTTAATTAATATCATATTTTAATTAAAAAATGAATTTGAATGAATTTCCTTTTGTTACTTTCGAGTTCCTTATGTTTTAAGTTCAAGGCAAAATTCGATGCGTTTTGATATTGTCCCTTAAATAACTAGTCGTGTTTGTCATATGCCATTTGTGCTGACTTATTTCTTCTGGCGCTAGGGGTTCACAGTTGCGTTTGTGTCAGGTGTACCTAAAACATCACATGATACGTGTATGGGACGTTGCTGTGACGCCTTCCAGTTTTTTTCTTTTCTGAATGCCCCATTTTTTAGAGGGTATTATAATTATGTCGCAAAATGTGCAACGCATAGAAGACAATGTCATCGACACCATCAAATATAAAGTATATATAATCAGCCGAGTGGATATAGCCATGTATGTCTGTGTGTGTTTTAAATGCAAACTACTTCTCATTTTGTTATTCATTTTTTTTATCAGCCAAATCGGAGCTCTTTATTTTATAGGTGATATCGGACCGATCGGTCATTAATTATGTTTTTGTATGAACAGCTTAAATATCAGTGAAAAACTAGCTACATCGGACTAGTATTGGCAGAATCAGTAACAAAATGAAATTGTATGAAAAACTTTTAAAATATTGTAAAATCACTTGCCTATTTACGGAACGAGTTTTTGTACGAAAAACTTTTCTGCCTTCTAAGATATCGTGACCAAATCAACAATTATAAGCTACCATTCTCCTTATTTTCCTGTCCCCTTCAAATCGGACGACTTTATTATATGGAACCAATAGGCAAAGACGGAAACAAAGCTTGCGTATATAACACCATGTCATATGTCCTCAAGGGTATTTAAAGTTCGTTGTGCCGATAGTTAGCTATTCTTTCTTGTTGTTTTTTATACTTTTGTTTAATTGCTGTGGCTGCTCTTTCGGTGCGAATTATTAATGTTGTTGCTAGGCGCTTGTTGTGAGCTGTCTCGATTCAATTGGTTCTGGCCAAGTGCTTGTAATGTCTGCCATAAGGAACTGCAGCTAGGGCAAAAGCTCTTAACAGGTGTTTGGTTTATTGTCGAGACAGCGTTTTGACATACATACATGTATATGTATAGTTCTCGACGACTATCCGTTTCTGTCACTAATCAGCTGTGCAAGTGGACGACGTCGCTCTCTGTTTGTGCTTTGTTCTTGTTTTGTATTCTTCAAGCTTATCAATCGGCAGTCTTTGTATACAGTGGTCATAATACGTCAACGTCGTGCTCCACTTACTGTTGCAATTGTGGCGCATGTGCATTTTTATAGGCTACACACACTTCTCAAATCGGGTATAGCATGCGCTTGTCTTGCGCTTTACAACACTTCAAATTTGCTTGTTGAAGCTAAATTTCTTTATCGAGTGTTGGATAATGTGCGAAATACTTTTGCTTGGGGAACAACACTTTTGAAAATTTGACTCGTATAAAGTTTAATATATAAACTCAAGGAATTGATTTTTCGTGAAATTTTTGGACACATATACGTCAACTAAAGTTTTAGTTCTCGCAAGTTTTATAATTGTAATACAAAACATTCCATAGTACATTTTTAGTCAAATTCATATCTAAATTATTTCTTTTATCAAACATTTTGCTTACCAAACGTCTTCGTAATTCGCTTTGAAATTTTTTAAGCTTTCTGTTGCTAATTTTCTTTGGGCCTTTGCTCCGTTTTGCCCACTGGTCATTTGTGTGGCGCCCGGTTTAGTGTTGCCTTTCGCCTTATCAAACACAGTCATTGACATTTTTGTTGGCCACTGGCCACTGACTGCTCGGCATGTGGAAGAGTGAGGCACAGCGAACCGATGTGGATCACACCACATATATACATGGCTCATATATACTTATTATGCACTCGGCTCGGCCCAAAGTTAAATTGATAGCTGGGCTGTCCAGTTGGGTGTGTAAGTGTGTGAGAGTGTGTTTACCCTGTTAAAAGGCTGAAATGTCTAAACGGCCATTCTGTTGTTATTTTCGCAGCACTTGGCGTCCGCGACTTTGTCAATACTTTGATATCATGAGGAGTGTGTGCACAGATAGATTGATATATGCCATAAAGTAATCGTAACTGTTTTCGCAATGCTAGCGTTTTTACGGGGCTCTCATAATTCGTAATGCTCATTTAAACGCTATTTATTGATTTGGCTAATCTTGTTGGCCAGTGTTGCGACTGGGTTTTGATCGGGCTGCGATTTCTAGGCACACAACACACACCAACACTCATTATCCAGAGTACTCGTATTTTGAGTACAAGGTAATATGATAAGGCTTCAACAAAATTATTATCTGAACTTTGATCGATGATTTTTAGAGCTTTGGACATTACCGCTACTCTCCAATCGTATAAAAGATACCATTTTATCCAATTAGCGTGTAACTTACCGGTTGTATAACGCTTGAAAGTATAACACTTGTTTTTCAAGTTCTCAAAATATATGTGAAAAAAATTATTTATTTTCATTTTTTTTTTGCTTTTGTTTTTCTAACATTTATTGTTCTGCTTTGCTTTGTGTTTGCATATTTTTTTTCATATTTTCTTTTTTTTTTCTCATTTTGCTTTGCATAGCTCAGCGCTCAATAATTCTTTGATGCGTATAACAGTTTTATTTGGTTATCAATTAGGAGCATGTGTAAGTGTGTGTAAATGGTGTAAAACTGCATTTGTTGCTCTTTATATGTGGTATACACTATACATTTGATTAGCTTTAAAATATATATATATATATAACACATTTATATGTATATTTTGTTTGTAGTTTTAATTCTTGTGTATAACAAAACGCACAAGCCTTTAAAAATTTGTTTTGTCATGGACTTGTCTGAATATTTTGCATAAAATGTTTTGCCATAAAATGTTTCATTTGTTTTTTTTTTTGTTTGTTTACGGTTTTAAGCTACATTATTAGTTAAAATTGAAAACAATTTCATATATTCTTTTTTTTTTTTGAGTTTTTTCTTTAAAATAAGTTTTATTACAAAATTTATTAGATTAGCATTGTTGTGTGTTTTTTGTTTTTTGTTTAATAGTTGTTGCTCCTCTTCTAATTTGCTTACAAGTTTATCGCTTTACCTTCTTTCTATACATACGAAAAAATAACTAACTACTACCATAGAAAGGTTGACATTTGTTTGTTTTATATTTCTTCTGCTATTTCCTACTTGGTTTTTTCCTACTACAACTATGCCGTATGACACATTAAAAAACTTGCGGTATAACAACGAATGCACAACAACAGTTATTAGCAGTAATAATATATAGATCGAGAGTTATTATGATACATATAACAAATACAGTAGCAATAATAATAATAATAATAGTAATGGTACATAATAGTATTTTAAAAATCGTAAAATTTAACAGACAAATAATAAAAATAGTTTACAATCTAATTGCTTTTGCAGTTGTTGCTATTGTTGTATAACAGTTGAAACTATAATCAATCAGATTTTATCAAAGTTTTTAGTTACTGTTGTTGTTCTTTTTTGTTTTTGTTTTGCTTTTATGAGCGTGTAACTATTATTATTACTTTTTTCCTTTTCTATATATATATATATATTTGTATGTATATAGCTAATATTTATATATGGCAGCAGAGCTCTGCTACAATCTTATCGAAGCTAAGCCAAGTTTTCTTGAATTTCCTTTTTGCCATCAAGCAAATCTATAACATATGTATATAATTAGTTGTATGTATATTGAATAGTTGCTTAGGCATAGTTTCGGTATCGGTATCGTTATATACATATATACTGTATATATATGCGCTTTTTGTATATAGTTTTCTTTGTGTGCTCTCTTTACAATACTTTTCGCTTTGGACCTGGACCTGGGCCTGCCCCTGCCTGAACTGTTGCGCTCATTTTTGCTCTCCTGCTGCTACTTCCTCGGCTCTGCTGTGCTCCTGTGCTCCTGCTTCGATCTGGCTCTTCTTTGTATATGTTGCTAGAAAAATATCTCTTATTCATACGCTTTCATTCTTACATTCCGCTTCAATCTCTCTCTTCAATTTATTTATATTATTTGTTTGTGTTTCTGCTTTGTTTTAAATTCTTGTTGCTTAGAGCTTTGATTCCGTTGTTGTTAATGACTTCTGTTGCGTGGCGGGGAATTGCTGTGGCGGCTCCTCCTTCTGTGGACTGGCCAGAGTTCTGATGATCTTGGGCACAATGGTGATTGGTTGATCCTCATCCTCCTCCTCGGCATCCTCGCCCTGCTCCTCATCGATGGGCGTCAGCGTCTCGGGATGCACTGGCGTCTCATCCGAGCTACTAAAGCGTTTCATACAGGGCGCCATAAAGCTGGTGATGGTGGACAAGGCGAACAGTCCACCTGCCATGTAGAAGGGCAGATCATAGGTATGGGTTAGATCATAGATGAAGCCCGCCAGCGGTGTGCCAATCAGTGCAGCAAATCCTCTGAACAATATAAGCAGGCCAAAGGCGTTCGTTAGCTTGTCCAGGCCCAGCAGATCCACCAAAATAATTGACGTTAGCGAAATGTAGCCGGAAATGGCGATTCCAAAGGCGATTGACATAGCTATATAGGCGCTATAGCTGTAGCATAGTGGAGTCAATGTGACGGCCACCGTCGAGATCAGCAGGCAGATGTTGTTGAGCAGCAGCGAATTGACCTGTGGCAGATCCGCCACCCAGCCGCAGGCCACACGTCCCACGGTGTTGGTGATGCCAATGATGGATAGCAGCATTGACGCATCGTTCCTGTCTATGCCATGCTCCTTGGCCGCATCGACCAGGTAGACAAACGGTACATATAATCCAGCCATGCCGAATACATTGGATACGCCCATTAGCATAAAGACGGGATCCTTGAGTAGGCTCACATCCAACATGGTGTTCACAACAGATTTAACCGAATCGGGTATGCACAGGCACGGGCACAGATCGTACTCCTCACGATGCTTATCCGCCTCCGCCAGTGGATCCAAGCGCATGCTCTGCATGCTCTTCTCGTACTTGGTCAGCGACAGTACAGAGTTGCGATAGTTTGTGAGCGACTTCTGGGATTGATATTGAGGCAGATTTGTGACGGAGCCGGAGTAGAAGATGTCCTTGCGTGACATGGGACGCACCATGCGTCCGCCACTGCCGCTTGAGCTGCCTTGACGCTGGGATAGCGACAATTTTGAGGTATTGAAGTCGGCGCCGGCGCCCGCTTCGATGTCTGCGCGAGAGGAGGCACGTATGGCTGCCAGCGAGGGCTGGTAACGTTCACTGCCGGATGTTTTGCGGACGCGGCTAAAAGATGGCACCGAACCGTTTTTGGGAAGACTTTGGTGATCGCCAGCGAGAAAGGCGGGCTGGGATGCATTGCGTATCATCGCATCCTGCGACTGATATGGACTGTGCTCGTTCTCCGAGTTGCGTTGCGATCGGCGACCAGATCGCGTGGACAGTTGACCATTGCTATCGGCAGCGCCATTGTTTGGAGGGGATTGAGCATTCAGTTCCACCACCTTGGATTCGGTGATGGTGGGCAGCGTTGAGACCGGATGCAGTCCGCCAGATTGCTGGGCCAGCAGCTCCAGATTTAGGCTGGAATGGACACCAGGATCGGCATTCAGTGGCAATTTTAACTTACGCTCCATGGTGCCGTCGGGCAACTGGACCATGAAATGTGAGCCCGCAAACGAGCCGCGTTCTAGCTGCATCTGCTTCTCCTCGTACATGCGCTGCATCAGTGGCTTCACCTTCTTCTTTTTGGGATAGGTTAGCGGCCGCATCATGGCGCCAAAGATGGCACAATTGAGTATCAGTCCAGCGAAAATGAGCAGCGCATTCTTCCAGCCATACTCATCCAGCAAGTAGGTGGCCAGTGGAGCAAAGGCGAATGTGCCAAAGCCCGAGCCGCACACGGCAATGCCCGTGGCCAGAGAACGCTTCGTCTCAAAGTAGTATCCCACGGCCACCACAGCGGGCAAATAGATCATGCCGAAACCAAAGCCGCCCATGACGCCATAGGTGGCCATAAGCATGCTGACGGATCCGCTGAACGTGCTCAACACAAAGGCGATGCAGGCAATGATGCTGCCAGCGATGCAAACGGCACGGCAGCCATATTTATTGGCCAGGGCGGAGACGATGGGACCGGCGCTCAGATAGACGCCAGATAGAAGACTGCCCACCCAGGCGACGGTGCCTTTGCCCTCATGAAAATAGGCGACAAACTCATTCAGGAATATGCCAAAGGTATACGCGATGCCATCGACGATCATGTTGCACATGAAGCTGGCGAAGCAAATGACCCAGCCGTAGCCACCGTCCGGCGGTGGCGGCAATTCGCCGTACACGCTAACCTCATCATCATCATCTCCATCTCCATCTCCATCTCCATCTTCGTCATCGTTTTCCTCCTCATCGTTGTCATCATCGGGACTGTTATAGTTCTGGTCGGAGGTCAGGCGTGCCGCTTCCTCGCAGGCTAATTCGCTGTCGGTTCGATCAAATTTGCGCAGGCGTGCCGCCGAGTTGCCAACGGCAGCTGCCGTGGAACCAGCATTGCTATTAGTGTCCACCATAATTGTGTTTTACTGTTGATTTTGAGTTGCTTTTAATAAGCCGTTAGTTTTCTAAGCGCACACTCTTTGCTTTTGCTTTTTAACTTCGGAACTTTAAGTTCGGAACAAAATTTCTTTTAATTGCAATTTCGTTTTTCACTTGCGCGCGCCCACACGCTCGCCCCCGCCAACAGTTGCAGAGGGAGTCTCAGTCGTCGAATTGTCTGTTATGCGTGGCCGAAGTGTCGCGCTCGGCGCCGTTGCGAGTTATGCGAGCCCTAGAACGGCCGCTGTCGACGTCGCTGTTGCTGCTGCTGCTGCTGCTTTTGCTGCTGCTGCTGCTGCTGCTGCTACTGTGTTTTATCTTTGCGCGCGCTCAGCATTTAATGCGCTCTCTGCTACTCCCACACTCTACAATGGCTTTGGCGCTTTGCCGCTCTTTAGTTCTGCTCTCACGGAGTCAGTGGCGAAGGTTTAGTTGCCGTTATATGGGTTGTGTGCGTGTGTTGTTATTGTTAAATTGTTGTTACTCAAAGTTCTTATGCATTATCGACTGAGAGAAAAAGGAGAGAGAGAGAGAGAGAGCGCAACTATATATGGAAATATTTTAATTTATTAAATATTTGTGGATTTTTGCTATTTGTCACGTTGTGTTGTGCTTGTGCATGAGTTTGTTTTTATATATAATTTTTTTTTTGTTTTAATTTTCTTTACTTGTATATTTTTGCATTGGATACAGCTGACTGACCAAAGTAAAAATTGTATTTTTGTTATTGTTGCGGCATTGCAAATTTTGGCTGCACTTTGTTTTTGTCTTTGACTTTGCACTCATTCGTTTTGCTATACTCTTGCTTTTGGGGCTAGTAGTACATGCTGCTGCCTTTATGTATGGCACATTTTTGCATTGATGCCCGCCGCCGCTGCCGCCGCCGCGACCACTGCTTTTTGGGGGTGCTGTACGTACTCGGCGTCGACGTCGCTGTTGGCGCTGTCGATAATGGCAATGCAATTGTATAATTTGTGAAGCATTGAAATTTGATTGTTAAATTTGTATTAAATCGAAATTCTTAGCGTCAGCAGAAAACAGAAAAACTTTGGCTGTCGACGGCCCCGCAACGTGTGATCGATAAAAGCTGAACTGAACGAAACAAACAGGCCGAACAGCAACAACAAATCCAGCAGAACCAACAACACAAGTGCACACGAAACTTGGCTTACGTGTTTTACACTCTGCTACACGAACTGCAAATGACGCTGAGCTGCAGCTTACAACATAGCTTGAACTGAAGTTTGATAAATTTATATATATATATATTTTTTTTTTTTAAATATATTTTCTGGGTGTATACAATATTTTTTTTTCTTTGTGCGCCGCGAGAGATACTAACAAAAAGCACCACACACAGACTTTATCGTCGTCACTGCTGCGCTGTTCGATATAAAATGAAAATTCGTCGTAACCAACAAACGACTGAAACCGACCGACGGGGCAGCTAGAACTGTTATACTACGATATACAAAACAGCCAGCGACAAATGTGAACGCAAACGCAATACAAAACGCAACAACTACATATAACCTCATACAACAAACACAATTTCAATTACAAACAACAACACTAATGCAAAAAATAAAAAAAAAATCAAAAAAAAAGATATTCTCGCCATGCGGTTGCTGACATTGCGATTACCTCGCCGATGTCTATTTTTCATGCAATGCATTTGAAGTTCAAGCGCGCAAGCTCTCTAAACAAAAAGTTGGCCGCTCTCCCGTTGCCGCTCTCTGACATATTGCGATGGCCACCTGGCCGAAGGCGCTCTTTGCTTTTGCGAAGCGCTCTCTGTCTCTCTCTCTCTCTCTCTCTTTCTCGTCGTGTGCTTGGTTTGCAGGTATGCGGCGCAAGGGTTGCGCTTGGCAGAAACAGCTGATTTGCACATTGGCAACGACAGCGGCAACAACAACAGCAAAAGCCAGCAGGAATGTTGGCTGTTGTTTCGCTTCGCACAGATTTAACACAAACAACTTCGCATAGAGTCTCATCCATCCGCATAGCAACCCCCTTCACAAACTACCCTCATTTATGACGCACTTTCTTAGGGGTTGTCTTACTTCATACAATATATATGGATGACCGTTACTTTTTGTTGTTCTTTTGTCAGTTGAAGAAAAACCGGCACTCGTATAACAGTTTTGTCGTGTATAAAAGACGCAACGTAAGAGCGTAAACTGTTGCTCTTAGTTTTGATTTAGGTTAAAGGTTAACTTATGACTTTCAAACTTTTACTTTTTTCCTGCGTATATGTACGCGTCAAAGTGTGTGTGTGTGTGTGTGTGTGTGTGTGTGTGTGTGTGTGTGCGCTAAAAATTGTTTGGTGTGCCGTCTTTTAGGCGCCGACCTTCAAAAGAACTAGTGCAAGAACCGAAAATTTCTGCATTATCTTAACAGGTTTTAGCTATAATACAATGTTTTGGACTTTTTTTAGTTTTTGATAAGTGAAGCGGTGCTAATTTCACAGTTTTTACTGCCCAATAAACGGATTGTTTTTAGACTTGAGGTAATAAAAACATGTGCCTTATAACAGTTGTTTGTTAAAGATAACTTTTTGCTTTAAGTTTCAACTCAAGAGAGTTTCGATCGGGCGTTTCTCTTAAGCGTACGCTCTTCTCTTCACAGGATGTACATTTGACTAACTGTTTATTCTATGTGTGGGTGTTCAATGCCATTCATAAAAATTGTAACACGCTTACACCCACGGCACACTCACACACGCACGCTCACACTCATGCACATACACTTACACAGCCATGTGACTAGTAGGTCAACGCCAGAGGGTAGCAGCTCTTGACGTTTTGCTTTTTTGCTTTCATAAGCTGATTTGGCTCTATTATTAGCGCATTAGTAGCCCATCTCTAATTTCGTGTTAAAGTAGTTTTTATATGGCCAGGAAATTGCACAGTTTGTTTTTTAACATCGTATAATTCTCCAAAGCGAAATGTAATATCCAGCCAAGACTAAACTGTTATACCGCAAGTGACACACGCGCCTCTGAGTTGTGCATGTTGGCCCAGAATGTATGTGTGTGTGTGTTTATGGGCATGTTCTCATTATAAATGCATCAAATTGTCGACTTGATGTGTAAACCAAGTCTCTGATTCCGGCACGTGGCATTAGGCCAAATGTGGGCGGCATGGTTATTGCATGGGTTGCATTTCCACGCCCATCCAACTACAAAACTGTCCGTGCATCAGGTGTTTGATTTCAACGTCTAGTATCAACAGGGGCAGCAACAGCAGCTGCCGCAGATTTTCGACTGCACTGTGGGTGGAGAATTTCTGGGCCCCAGGCCAGAAGTTGGAGCCCATAAACCCAATGGGATCAGAGAGAACTATATAGTATAAAATCGATTTCAACGCAAATAAAACCTTTCATGCGATTTTAAACACTTTTAAATAAAGCAAAATCTTTATGTACATACGCTTCATGTATATAAGATAAGCTCATAATCTATACCAAATCTTATCATAAACAGCGGATAATTGTTTATTATGATTCAATAGGCTTTATTTAAAAGAAGTTTATGCCCTAAAATTGATTTCATTTGTTTTCCTTTTTACTGTCTGGTAACAATTTTCATTTATCATGCCAAAGAGTTGAATGCGCTTTTATAGATACTTTTGTGTATCGACGACATCAATGCCATCGCCTCTGGGCCGGTTCAAGAATTTTTTATCAACCTTCTGCTCAGTCTTGTAGCTGTACTTTTCTTTGTTTTGTATTTGTTTTATTTTTGTTGTTGTTGAGGGAAATGAAATTGAAATTGCGCATACGCCACATTGCGCCTCAGCCAGTCAGTCGATGCGCTTTTGTTTAACGTTGTATTTTTTACGCTGCGAGTTTTCCTCAGTTTTTCTCATTTTCACAGTACTATATAGCGTACATATATATGCATCTATATGCAATATACACATCTGTATCCTATGCCAATATATATATATATATATATATATATATTTACAAAATGACGCAGTTTTGTCGCTGGCAATTTTTATATTTTTTGCTTGCGTTGGTATTTTACTTGTTGCTTTCGCTGCGCATCATTCGTAGCTCATTTCCCAGGTGTACTTGTTATTGTTGGCCTCTGTTGTACCCGTTAGATACTTTTGTATCTGATAGAAGGAATTGCTCGTCTGCTGCCCACGTGCCAACTGTTATACGCATTTATATGTCAGTGCCAGCAGGATACACAAATAACAAGCGCCAGCCGAAGCGTGAGTCCCTGCTGTGCTCCTGAAACAGCTATTGCTACTTTACCATTTATCCTGTCGTCGAGCTGTCAGTTGTCTTTCAGTTGCCCACCCATTCAGCCTCTCTTCTCCCTATTCCGGCTGCTGCTGCTACTGCCGCCCACCCATCGATACTTATCAACGACAATTCTTGCGTGAAATAACTAGCACCTAGTAGGTGCCGTCAAAAACATTCGAGCTCTCATGTATATATGAATCCTTATTTATATATGAAATCTCACACACACCCACATTTACACACATACAAGGACGCAATCTGCGCACTTGATGAAGCGATTCCTCCTCTTTAGCCGCTGCCTATGATATATCTAACCTTCAATAGCTTTGTTGTTTCTAGTTCAATCTATTTCAAATAGCCAGATCCTAAATCGGACATCAAAAGGTATGTAAATACGAAAGTGTTTGATTTTCCTGAGAGCCAACTTCAGATATCATTCTTCAGAGTCGATACATCGATATTGTTAAATGGGGATATGAATACCCGATACCGATTACCGATAATTCGTATCAAATGATAGATATATAACTTTAGGACTCTCCAGCTACTAATCTAAGAAATATTTTTTGAAAATCGATATATATATCGAAAATATGGAAATGAATGATATCGGATGAAATATATATGTATCGATAATATGGAAATGGGTGATATCGAATGAAATGAATAATATTAAGTTTTAAGTGTTTAATGAGCAATAAGATGCCTGCTACCTGTTACTTATATTTGCCGATAGCTATCATACCCCGTTTTATCAGTTTTCAATATCTACAGAGTATACAAAGAATGGCTGAATATGCTCACACCGCCCACTTTATAGCTACAAGCCTCAACGCTGTCGTCGCCGCCGAAGCACTCGTAAATAATTTGTTGGCTAGTGCTTTCATTGATAAGAAAAAAACGCTTTACAGTTCTTAGCCGCTTGTTTGTTTGTATTTTTTTTTTTTTTTTTTTGTGTATGCCGCCGACAGGTGGTGGCGGATTCGGATTTGGCGGCGGTGCCAGGGGCAATTTTCTAGCTTTGTTCTAGACGAAGGTCGCGTGCCGTTTGTCGTCTTAGAGAATTATGCAATTTCTTTGGCTTATTGTTTACTTTTGCGGGCAGCCACAGTTCTTCTTTGGCTATTATTTATTGTAAATTGACACAAATGAATTCAATTGAATTGCTAGAGCAACAGCAGCAACAGCAACAATAACAGAAGAACAGGGTGCCACATGCAACAGGGTGATTTCAGTTGTAGTTTTGTGGAACTGTTGCCAGGCAATCAAAAGTTTACGCATTTGTGTATTTTTCTGTTGCTATTTGTCATCGAACCCGACTGCCCATAATACGGCGCATTGTTGGCGAGATTCGTTATCAATTTATATATGTATTTGTACAGGAACAACAGCAAAACAAACAACAACAAGCGAGTACCACGTGTGGCAATATAGTTATAATACGCTTTATTTGTTTATTGCATTATGCTTTCAAGTTTTTTTTTGTTTTTTTTTTTTTTTTTTGCCCAGCTGCTGATAAGCAACAAATTATTTTTGATTGAAAATGCATACTAAAATAATTCATTTTTACTTATTAATAAACATAGCTGTGTCAGTTTGTGTTTATCGTACGGGCATATACTTATATTGCCAGTACATACGATTATATATATATATATATATATAAATATTTCTACACAATTTGCTGTCGTTGCGCAGCTTTTGTGTTGGTTTTTTGCACTTTGAGTTGTTTTGTTTTCATTTGTTGTTGTTACTGTGAGTCAAATCATAGATTAAAATGTGACTAAGCTTAGCTTATTTTTGTTGTAATGCTAAACCCTTTTTATCAAATATGAATAATTGCGTATATTGGCATAGATTACATGCATAAATTATAATAAAGGTTCATGAATAGTTCAAGTATTTTGGGTATTGGATTGCTTTGGAACGGTTGTGTCCTGACAAAGGACATGTGTCCTTGCATTAAAGTTGACAACAAATAAATCCTCTTTTCAATTCATTTTTGTTTCCAACTTTGTTGTTAATTTAATAGACTAAAAAAACAAATACTAGCAATTGTTGCTGAATTTGAACAGGCGACTAGCCTTTTGTTAGTCCGACGCTCAAATATTTATGCCTACGTTATTATTGATGTTTTTTATGACCAATATGAATATCATTGTGTTCCACTTAGAGCTCGAATATTCCATAAATCCAGTTCAGTTTTCTAGCTTCGGTTTTAGCTGCGCTTTAAACTCCAATCAGTCAATATGTCAGGATAAATCTCTGTAATCCCACGATTAATCTTAAGATATCTGTTTTGTGATGCTTTAAAGTGTGAATGCACTTTGTTTTCCTGTTTTAATGTTCGGTCTATTGATATATGCCACTTGGTCATATTTAGCTGGCCTATTACTTGATTGCTCTTCAATTTATTTTCAGTGATGGGCAGCAATGAAAATATTCATTTGTTATACATTTAAGAAGTAAACATAATGATTGAAGCTTTTATTTGTTGTTTGTGAAATATATTTATTTATTTTTAAAGATTAATTTGCTCAATTATTATTCTATTTGTTTATGTTTAGTTTGATTGTATTAGGTGTCTACTGCTAGTATTTGGTTCAATTAAAATTGATTTAGAAACTTAATTCTACAGCTTTAAGGAACACATCTCTCTCTCTATCTCTGTCTCACTCTCTCACTCTGTCATCAGTTAAATGGCTTTAAAATTCGTAAATTGTAAGCCAAACATAAATTACTTAAATGTGGCAATCGTTATTATTGTTCTCGTTGTTTTTGTTGTTGTTGTTTTTTGTTGCTAATAAAAATTGAATAAAATCGCGCGTTCAATAACAACAACTGTCCGTTGAGTGTGTGGAGGGGCTGGGCGAGGGAAAAATCGGTAAATCGAGACAGCAACAGCCCCGCTTTTGGGGGCTGCTCTCCAGTTGGTGATGACCCCGTTTTGTCAGTTTGTTGAAAAGAAAAATCAATTAAATATCAAATAGACCTCAACAACAACAACAACAACAACAACAACAACCACGATTACAAAATCTCGATTGTTCAAATATAGCGCATTGCATTGTATCGAGAGAAACGCAAATTCATTTGCGTAATGTATAACTGGCATATGATATATGATGTGCATGTTTAAGCAGTAGAACAGTTTTCATAGTGAAACCGAAAGCGAATTTGTCCAGTCCAGTCAAGTGTCGGAGACGTCAAACTGTGCTAATGCTGTTTACTCTTTCACTTCCATTTGCACTTCTATATAACTACCTGCTACGCCCCTGGCCCGTGCTAACACGTGTAAGAGTAAAGTACAGTCGCGTTTGTTTTCGATATACATTTTTTTTTTTTCGTGCCGTTGTGGATTTCCTTGTTTTGCATTGTTGCATTCAACTTTTGTTGCTGCCTGCTATTATTAGCCTAACATGTTTAAATCGCATTGTTGTTGCTTTTTTGTAATTTACCTGTGCACTCATGTCTGTAATTATCCAGCCAACCTTGTCATACTGCAGTTCTCTCAGCTCATCGTCGCTACCAAATCTGACACTTCCCCTGGTACAGTTTTTTATTATAGTCTCTAGGCTTTTTATATAATTTGCATGCAATTCGCATTACAAGTGAATACCCTATAAAATTTCATTTCATTTTTCGTGACTTCTATTGCAAATATAGAAAATGTCTCTGTATTAACTTCGACGCCCTTAAGGTTGTGCATTTAAAAACTCTACTCTACTATACTCATGTATGCAGGTGTCTTTTGACATGTCAGGATTAAAAGGCTACTCCTCATGTGCGCCTGGAAAATCAGAAAAATCTTTATCTTTCACAGTTCTCCAGCAAAGACTCTAATATTGAGCCCATTCTAAAGATTGATTCATATATGAAAAATCTTTATAATCTGTGCATATAGCCTGTTTTACTGAGTTATTGGACTGTGAACGATTGAAATTATAACTTCTAGTGTTTTGTATATACTTTGCATTTGAGTGGTTTCTAATTATTTCTCTCTCGCAAATTTTCATTTCAATTTTGAGTTCTCTATTCCAGTTTTTACTCCCATCATTTGAGTGTGTATTTATTGTTGGCCGCTTGTTAGATGTTAATTGAAATTAATTAACACATTGAGTTCGGAATTCTGCTGCTCTACTATTGTTGGAAATCCGATTCCGTCTGGCGGCCCTGCTGCCTATTTTTTTTTTCCTACTCTGTTTGTCATATGACGTTATGGGGTAAATAATATTTAGCACCGCAATTTAATTGTATACTGAAAGCATTCGTTATGATATAGGCGTTAATAAAATTTTAAATAGCTTTGCTCATAGATATTGTTAATGGTGCATACACATATATTAATATATTTCTTATCGTTCGTCTATGGCCTACATTGTGGCACGCGGCCATGTGGCAAATGGGAGGCTTGTTTCTGCCTAAATTGTCAAACAGCAATAGCCAGAGGATGAAACTTTTGCAATTGAATTCGTATTAGATCCGTGTGCAGTTGAAAATTATGTCAACATTTTATTTTTGTTTTAAGAAATTAACTTTGTCGAATACATACTTGGAAATTTTTTGTCCTCTACTCAAGTGTAATAAACTGGAATCCTGTTCTTTCTTATGTGTACGTATTATATATAATTCTGTGTTAGTTCAAAATCTGGATTCCACAATATATTTCGTTCATAGTTTGGGCGAGAACAGAAATGGTTTCTTCCCTCTTCAAACTTCATTTCCTAACGTGGCGAATGGCCGAAAAAGGTGTGCATTTAAAGATTCTTACGATGTGTCCCACACTTTTTTTTTTGATATACAAAGAATTAGTATTTCACCTTGTATAGAGAGTTCTTCTGGTATTTCCCGGCCTTAACCGATCGAGATTTTTGTTTCAAATTTTAGACATCAATTTATTACCAATTTTCCGCCCGTAGTGCATTTAGAGCAGCTTCTTTTAAGACCCAAGAGTTGGAATTAAGGTTTATTTTAAATCAAAAATTCCTAAACCCCTTCTTAGTGTGCAGCTTCATCAGTTCATGTTAGTCAATCAATCAGAACACACTTTTTATATAGAGACAGATTGTGTACTCATTGCATTGCACCCAAGTACTTCCCATGGGAAAAATTACTATATTTTTATTATAGGATTGTGAAAGTGTTATGTTTTATTAATGCGGGATTTGTGGCCTTCCTCAGCTGTGCAAACTTAAGTCTGCCGTCCCATATTCTCACAGTCGCAGACGCACCTCAATGCCCAGTGGCAATGAGAGAGTGAACAGCCTTGTGGGTCGCCCCTTCTGACGCCCATTGGGGCTAGGGTCTTATCAAGTGTTAATATTTACAGCGCGTAATTGTAAGTACTTGGGGGCAAGACCCAGAGCTGCAGCTCCCACATTGCGTATCACTTGGGATTATTAATTAGGCATTTATTAATGACAAATAGGCGGCAATGGCAACAGCATCGCTTCGTTGACTTCTCCGAATCACGTGTGCATTATTTTAGCTCTTTTCCTGATAACAGGCAGAGCACCCACCTTATCGACAAGCATGTTTTTGGGCGGGTTTATCGTAAGGCCCATATCAGAGAGAGGGCGCAAAGTTCAGCTACCGAAATGAGTTCACATTAATGAGGCACCGATTGTGATTTACTCTAATAATAATAATAATAATAATGTTGTTCGTCCAAACGGAACTTTATGGAACTTCTCTATCTCTGTTTCTGAGTGGGTGCTGCCCACACTTGTAATGGACATGGATTAAGTATTGTTATAGGGTACTTGCTGCAATGGCCAACAAATTGATTGGACAGCAAGAGTCAGCGATATGTGGCATGCCTTATCGTCGAGCAGTAACAACAGTTGCTGTGGCGATCATTTAGTGACAGTTATCTCTAATGTTGTTGTTATTGCTGCTGTTAGACGTGTCCGATTAAAGTGCAGTAAAATCAGCTGCGGGACTCTATTCAATTTCCTCTATTGTCGGTCAGGCGCATCTCTATTGTCTATGCTGATTAGCGACGTGTGTACTAAGTCTATATTGACTTTTTGATATTGTGAGCTACTTTCTGAACTGTACATAAATACACAGTATATTCACATTGCTATTTACATACAGTTGCACTCCATTCAAGTCTTTAATTTCGAGATAAAAAAACGAAACAACAAATCAATTAAAATACATGTCAAAATTTAGGGATAGGAAATTTTCGGTAAGAACAACAGCAACATCCGATTCAAATAAAAATATCATATATGACATCAATTGGTATCAATTATGAAGATATTGTAAATTATTTTGTGTATTATGCACAACAATTGGGCGTATTTTGTGTAGCTATAGAAACCACAACAGATAAAACTCAAGTGGATAAAAAAGGGGGGAATTTTTGTTGGATGCAGAGGCTATGTTTTTTATTTTATTTTGAGAGTTTACTGAACACAGGAAATTCTTCTCTTTTACAGTTGATAAAACGCTGCTCACCACCAACAACAATAATAACAACAACAATAACATCAGCAGCTCGAACGAGTCAGCTTTGGATGAAACACTGATTGCCAACAGCGAGAAGCAGCAACAGCAGCAGCAGCAACTAGAGCTTGAATATCAACAGCAACAGCAGCAACTGCAACAAGTCGATAAACATCAACAGCCAGCCAATTTGGTAGTATCCATTGCTACCGTAGCGCCCCAACTGCAGGTGCAGCAGCAACAACAGCAAGCTGCCGCGCCACCGCAGCAACATCAGCAGCAACAAACTTCGCCAGTTGTGCCCCAGCAGCAACAGCAGCAGCAGCAGCAGCAGCAGCCGCCGCAGCCGGTGCAACAACAGCAGCAGCAACAAACACAGCCAGCACACACGCCCAGTCTCAGTGAGCAACATGCACAGCAGCAACACGCCCATCAGCATCAGCAACAACAACAGCAGCAACAACAACAGCAGCAGCAACAGCAGCAGCAGCAACAACCGCCTCAGCAGCAACAGCGAAAGCCACCTCAGCAGCAATACAACAACAACTCACAACAGCAAGTGCGTCGCAAATACTCCTCGGAGTACAATCATCAACAGCAACAGCAACATCATCATCACCATCAGGGCAGCAGCGACACTGCCATACAAACCACCAAGACAATGTCGTGGACAAATTCCGCACAGCACAAGAAGTCCACGCAGTCGGTGGCGGTCACTGCCTCGCCAAATACTGTAAACAATGGCGCCACTGTTGCTGCTGCTGCTGTTAGCGGTGCTGCAACTGCACCACCAAGTGTTGGCGGCGGCTTTAATAAGCAGTCAACCGGTGTTAGTGCTGGCATCTACAGTCATCCTACTAAGACCTTCACAAATCAGCAGCACTATCAGCAACAGCAGCAGCACTACCAAACCAGCCACAACAACAACAACAACAACAGCAATAGTGGCAGCAGCAATATTAACAGTAACAACAACAACAACAGTAACAACAACAGCAACAATCAGCCACAAATGCGCACATATGGCACTATGAAAGTGCCCTCATCGCCTGTGGCAAGCACAGCCCCGCCGCTGGAGCGCAAAATCAGTGGCCAGCATCAGCAGCAGCTGAACAGCAACAATTCGGCAGCAGCAACAACAGCAACTACCTCAACGGCTAGCATAACAGCAACGCCTCATCAGTTTCAACAACAGATGTCCACTGAAAATCAGTCAAATAGCACAAACAATGCATCTGTGCTGTCTCAGCAACAACAACAACAACAACAGCAGCAGCAACAGCAACAGCAACAGCAACATGGTCATAACCAATACGCTCCAGCTGCCAAATCCTATGTGAGCTATGGAGCCAAGAACAAGTACGGCACACAAAACTTCAGTGCAGATACGTCCTTCAGCGCAGCTGCAGCTCCTGTGTCTGTGCAGCCGGCGCTAAACTTGGCGCCACCAGCGCCGCCTGTCTCGCAGAACAACGCCAGCGCAGACAGCGGGCAACCATCGTGGGCCAGTCTGTTTTCCAACAAGAAGCCCGTGGCCAAAGTGGCGCCTTATGACGGCAACAAGGCACAGCAGCAACCGCATCAGCAGCAGCAGCTGCAGCAACAACAGCAGCAGCAACAACAGCAACTGCAGCACCAACATCATCCACAACAGCAGCAGCAGCAGCAGCAGCAACAACAACAACAGCAGCCGCAGCTGCAAATGGCTCCACCACAGCAACAACCACAACAATTGCCTGTCCAGCAACAGCAACATCAGCAACAGTCACAGCAGCAACTGCCATTAACACCGCCAACACAGAGCCTGCCCAGCGTGCACCATCAATTGCAATCGCCAACGCCAGTGCCAGCGCCAACTGTGCCGCTTATCACACCCGGCACACTGTCGTATTCAGCGGCCTCGGCACAGGCAGTGCCCGCCGTGGCTGCTCCCGCCTCTGCAGCAGTCAAGCCTCTGAAAGCAGAGCCGATGCGTGCCGCTCAACTAGATGAGTGGACAAACAAATATGCTGAATTTCTGACACGTCATAAGACTAACCTGGCGCCCGTCAGTCTGCGGCCGCGTGGTCTGACTAATCGTTCCAATTATTGCTATATCAACTCAATACTTCAGGCGCTGCTTGGCTGTTCGCCTTTCTACAATCTGCTGCGTTCCATACCCAAGCAGGCAGCGGTGCTGAGCGAGGTCAAGACACCCACCGTGAATGCCATGTAAGTGATCCGTGACGCATAACCCATGACCCAGTTGCACCATTAGACCACCACGCTGCCACAGGCAAGTCAACAGACGCCTTGGCGCCAAAACCAGCTGGCGTCTGTGTTACGCCTGTGGCATAACAATTGGCATCGGTCTGTCAGGCGTGCACTGGTTTTTTCCGTCTTGGACTTGAATCTTTGCTTAACGTCTAGGTCGATGCAGGTGCATGGTGTATACTCATGATTAACCCATCGATGGCTTCATGTACACCTGCATGCACGCACATTTTTATTGCTTTCTACAAAGTTCCAGCGTGCTCTTAATTCCAATTCTTTCCTCTATAGGATGTCGTTTATGAGTAACTTTTCATCATTGCCCGGCGGTACCCGTTTGCGTTTGAATAACAACAAAGCCGCCCAGATCAAGGGTAAGGATGAGTTTGCTGGCGTTGATTTGCAGTGCGATCTTGCCTTTGAGCCCACTGAGATATACAAACTGTGGAATGACAGTCGTGAGGAGCACGTGGAGGGCAGGCAAGAGGATGCCGAAGAGTTCTTGGGCTATGTGCTCAACAAGCTCAACGATGAGATGCTCGAGGTAGGGGTCGATTATAAGTTGCTATATAAAATGGGATTTATTATTAATATGCATGTATTTCTCAATAGGTTATCAAGTTGATTGCAAAGCCAAATGCCCAACAAAATGGCGAGGAACAGGAACAAGATACCGAGGATGGCGGAGACGTTTGGCAGGTAAGTACTTTGCTTTATTTTAGTTGCTTGTAGTACTTATATGCTCTAAAAAAAAAATTGACCCCCCAAAATTGTAATTGATTGGAGAGTTGATCTCTATTGAGTTGTTCGTGTGTCTGTTAAAAAAAGAGCTAATCTCTGAGATTGTACATAACAATACTCACCCAAGCGTTATTTTAAATTGCACAAGGGAATGTTAAAGACACCAGAACACCATGAATCACCCCCAGATCTATATATTCTGGATTGGAAAGTTAAGCTTTATCGAAATGTCCGTGTATCTGTGTCTGACAACACGCTGATCTCGAAGACTACCATACGATACACCTTGATAACATTCCCGTTCCCAAAAATGCTCCCAACTTTCTTTCAATATAAGTACAAGTAGTTATAAGTATCTGCTGCAGTACTTAAATACTTAATTCATTTTGATTTTACTTTTACAAATATGAATTTGTATACCTATTTAAAAAAAATATATATTTTTAAAATATATAGAAGATAAGGGGTATATTCTCACTCTGATACAGCTAGATGAATCTTCTGCTCTGTGACTCGCCCTGCTTCTCTGGTTTTGTTGTCTCTCTCCCGCTCTGTTACCGAAATCTTGCCTTCTCAGCTCCTTCCACCCCTTCTCAAATATCGCCTTTCTATGCGATATGACATATTATTTTAGTGAAATTTAGTGCTTGTGCTTGTGTATATTTGGATCTAAATTTAAACAAATGCAAATTACCTCCGAGACAAGTACCCTTGATTGGATCGGATCACTTGAGTTGTTACTGAATGGAACGATTGACTACTTTTAGATGATTTGCAATAATCGCAACAAGGGCAGCGTAACTCGCCAGACAGACTTTGGACGTACCCCGCTCAGTGATATCTTTCGTGGTGAACTGCGTTCCCGGCTGCAGCGCGAAGGCGAACACTCCACGGATGTTATACAGCCGTTCTTTACACTGCAACTGAACATTGAGGTGAGTTGGATGCGTGTCACGCAAAAGGATTGTGGTAAATACTCTTGGTATGGCGATTGCAGAAAGCCGCTTCGGTGAAGGAGGCTCTTGAGATACTCGTTGGCCGTGATCAGCTGGAGGGCGTCACTGGCAGCAAGACCAAACAGGAGGTGGTCGCCTGGCAGCAAATGACATTGGAAAAGTTGCCCATCGTTTTGATATTGCATTTAAAATACTTTGACTATAGGTCCGATGGCTGCACAAAGATATTGAAAAAGGTTGAGTTCCCAGTGGAGCTCAAAATCGATGCCAGTAAGTGAACATTTTATGGCTTAAGGAGTTGGATTCATGTGTATACCTATTCGCAGAGATACTTGGATCGAAGAAAACATCGCAAAAGCAACGCGCCTATCGCTTGTTCGCTGTGGTCTATCATGACGGCAAGGAAGCCTCCAAGGGTCATTATATAACGGATGTGTTTCATACCGGCTACAATAGTTGGCTACGCTACGATGACAGCTCGGTAAAGCCGATCGGTGAGAAGCAAGTGCTGCAGCCGCACACGCCGCGTGTGCCTTATCTACTCTACTATCGCCGTTTCGATACCCTGCCACAGATGCAGACGAGCAATGGCGCCGGCGCTGGAAGCACAGTAGGCGCCACCAATGCCCATGCCTCGGCCAGTGCCGCATCTACCACATCAGCTGCAAACTCAGCGAATAATAAATGAAACTAAGTTGTCAAAATAATGGCATACCCAGTCTAAGGGCATGCCAGAGTTTGATTTTTTATGCATATACAATTTGAACGGTTATATTATATATTTAAATGCCTATGTTTAAGCCCAAAGTCCAAAGCGCATGTACGTGTGAATGGTAGTTGTATTTGTGTGGTGAATGCGTGTGTGTCTAAGTGTGTCTAAGTTTAATAAAAGCAAAAAAACTCCTAGTTGGTAAGCCTTAGCCGTAGCCCTAAGTTGATAACAGTTTAGTTGTGCAAGAAAGCAAACAAACCAACAATTCGTTGAAACGAAATCTTTGTACAAAATTAGCGCATGGTATGGCTAAACTAAACAGCGAGCAAATTATCATATACATATACTAAATAAGTAAGTTTCATAAATTTGAGCCAGCCAATATTTGTAAATCCCGTTTGGCGCCTCAACCTATTCAAAATGGCACAAACAAGCAGAAACGTGCATATATTAGATAGCTGTAGACCTCTTCGATATGACAAACATTTAGAGCTCTATATGTACATAAGTAGCATACATATATGATACATATATAACTAAAATTGTAGAGTTTAATTTTCTTTGTAATTGTTTATAGCATGCATTTAGGCGCCAGAGCAAACAATCAGCCAATGCATCCAGTTAAAACCACAATATATATTGAAATGCTTTGAATATGCTTTAAAAGAAAAACAAATCTATCTTTTGTATACAATACAAGACATGCAAACACATGAATACATAGCATTATTTTGTGTGTAAGTCGAAATAAGTGAACACTGAAACGAGAAAAAAAGAAATTAGCGCGATTATTTTATAATTTATATAGTTTGTTGCTTAGTTAGATATCCCAAATCCATTTTAAATTCATATATATATATATATAAATATACTTTTATGAAAACTGTTTGCACCCATTATGATATTTTAGTATCTGTTGCGACAAATCGTGAAATTGGCTTACATATAGTTAAAAATATAATTTGTATTTGTAAGCAATGCTAACAGTTATGTCAACCACATTGTCAACTTTCATGTGCTTCGTTAATAATTACAACTAATCAAGAATTCTAGTTGCATATGGAGTTATATATTTTAGCTGGCAAACAATAACATACACATGCGTATTTTATTTTCTAATTCATATACCATCTATATATATATATATATATTATAAATAACGTGCCAATGTTATAATTCGATAAAATTACATCAAAACAAAGAAAGCATGAAAGAAGTTAGTGTCCAAAACAATAACTTTTTGATACTTTTGTGTAGTCAGTGACTTCTCAAAGGGATATTGTTAAAATTATTTACAACTAGTTACAAACTTTTGTTGAATTAAGTTTTATATTTGATAATTGATGTCTATATATATATAAACGTGAAGAAATCTATAAAATAGCAAAAGGAAATGCGCTGATTTACGATTGTTAGGACTATAATGTAATCATAGACAAATCCGAACTCTCAATTTACATAAATTGCTTATCTTATATGAAGAAACAGTATCGGAAAAACAAGAGGAAGATTCAAATTTTTGTGAATTTACATTTGATGCAAACTCTTTGTATGAAATTCTTTTTAAAATTTCAAATGATGTTTATTTGAAACTGCTCGAAACTCAAGTAAAAGCCAGCGCAATTCGATTGTAAAAATAGAAAGAAACCTTGAAATATTATAATATGGATATAATGTAATGCATTGTCATACATATATGTATATATATCTATATTACAAAATATATGTAAATTAAGAAACATATATATTTTGATGTTAAACATATATGAATTAATTGTAAGCCAAATTATAGCAAAACATTTTTTTCTATAGAAATTTTACGGCGTCTGCGCTTTGCTAGTTACAAATAGGTTCCTAAAAATACGAGGAATATTAAAAAAAAAATTATATATATATATATATATATATATATATATATATATATATATATAAACTAAACTGACATATATGAAAAGCAAAACAAAAACTAAGCATAGTAAAGTACCGGTAAACAAAAGCAACAACAATAATATTAGGACTTGTAGTTTAAAGCCAAGCTAACAACATATTAAACGTAAACAAAATTATACATACATACATATATATATAAATTAAATTTATACTAAAAAAAAGAGAAAAAACAAAAAAAAAAAAATAACTAATGTCAAAGCGATGGAAATTTTGTGGATATTTTCACATTACATATTATATTTTTTCAAGCGAAATTAAAATGTTTAACATACATCGCATATATAAAAAGCAACCGAAACTAAAGACGTAATAGTTATACACTTTTGTCAAGCATTTGTTTTTTTTTTTTTTTTTTATATATTAATGGAATACTCCAGAAACCCAATTGTAAATTCACATCATATATTACATACAATTGTATTAAATTAGTTTTCAAATTTTTCATACACTTATTTTTTTTTAAATTGTGTTTTATGCGAATTTTGTTGCCTTTTCTTTTAATATTGCTTTTGGCGCTACGGCAAATTTGTTTGCCCTCATATATGTTTTAGTTATTAAGTAGTTTCTAAGGCTGTGTGACTAACTAAATACAAATTAATCATTGTTTAAGCCGAATCATTATGAAAAAAAAAATCATTGTGTTGACATTGCCTGACAATTTTTGTTTAACTTTGTTTTCCAGTTATTGAGATAAATGTTGTGACCCTAGAAGGAATGAAAGTAATATAAACGAGAATTGGCAAGTGCACTTACTAAACGTATAATCGAAAATACGATAAACAAATAAGATATACATACAAGAAAATAAACAAAAACCAACATTAAGTGAATATTAAGCTAAAAATAAAATATTAAACGGCATGCAAACCTAACGTTAAAGTTAAAGTTAAATGTTTTGTAATAATTTTCTAATACGAAGAAAAACGCGAAGCAATTTTGAATATACAAACTTCAACACAAATACAAATAGAAATAGAAAACAAAACAAAAAAAAAAAACGAAACGAATATTAAGACATTCAAAGACGTTAACCATGCAAAATTGATACAAAAAAAAATTTAAAAAAAAAATCAAAGCAAATATGTTAACCCACATTTAGTCTAAACAGAAACAAACGAATTGAAAAAGTTGTACTAACTAAAGTTTAAACATACCTATATAAATTGTAATATGATACATCAACAAGAAACTAAAGTGAAAATTAACTAGCAATAAAATAAATAATACCATTACCAAAACAATTTGTTTCAAATATCCGGTGCAACGTTTGATGCGCTGCAGCCGGGAGCAAAGTGAAAGGAGCCGCCAACCGAGAGAGTCGCTAATCGTATTCAGCTGTAGGTCAAAACCTGCCCGATACGAAGACACTCAAAACCGGTTCTCCAAAAAAAAAAAACCAACAAATTGTAAACATCGAACATCGAATGCTCTTCTAACAGAAAGAGTGAAGATTTTCGATCAGAATTGCAAGAAGTTTTTAAAGTAAACTTTGTTTTTTTCACGATATATTCCAGCATCGGAATATTATATCAATTATATATTATATTATATATATTTTACCATATTTCTGCATTGATAAATCGGTCGAAAAATTACTGCATGGAAAACTTATTCAGTAAAGTCTTCAACATATTTTCGACAGAAGTCTGTTTTATGTGGTTTTAAGCCTTTCGGATGAAAGTAAAGTTTTAGTATAAAAAACAACAGTTCAGTTTATCAAAGTTGTAGAAACATGTTCTGCAAATTGAAGTGTATAAAAATTTCTATCTTGCACCTAAAAAGTGAAGCAGAAGAAATAAAATATATATGCTCAGTCGGACAATGTCTTAAGAGAGTTGTGATTCATTTGGTATGCGAATCACAAACGTAACAAAACAAAACTCGTTTTTAGCCCGGGGTGATACTCATTAAGAGACCGTTTTCGAACTGAAAGCAACTGGGCTAAAAAACAGTCGCGGTGTGGCAACTGAATGAAGAGGCACATCGCACAATGTGATCGCAGTTAAAGATTTCGTAAGGCTTTAACAATATTTGGCAAATGTCATTGCTTGTGGTGCGCAATGTTCCGGAATGTGCTGTGTTTGGTGCTGGGCCTGATTGTGGGCATGCAGCTGACGGAGCTGTGGGACTATCTGATGCTCACAGGTGACGAATACGAGAGCACCGCGATTGCTGTGGACACGGCCGCGCCCACGCCGCTGGCTGAGGCAACGCTGGCGGATCGGCTTTACCATGAGACGCGTGTGCTGTGCCTGGTGCTGACCATGCCAACGCAGCATAAGACTAAAGCAGCCAAGGTGATGTCCACATGGGGCGCACGCTGCAACAAGCTGATCTTCTTGAGCAGCCAAGACGATGTCGAGTTGGGCGCTGTTAATCTCAATGTGACGGAGAGTCGTGACAATCTGTATGCGAAGGTGCGTGCGGGTCTGGCCTACGCATATGAACATTACGTGGAGGATTACGACTGGTTTCTCAAGGCGGACGACGACACGTGAGTTGCAGAAACTGTTCGCTGAATCATTCGACTTATGCCCATATATGCTAGTTATGTGGTTATGGAGAATCTGAGACTCTTTCTCTATCCATACGATCCGGAGGCAGCCGTTTTCTTTGGTCATCGATTTCGCACAACCTATCCACATGGCTACATGTCTGGCGGTGCTGGCTATGTGCTCAGCCGCGATGCACTGCGTCGCCTGAATCTGTTTGCTCTGAACAATACAAAGTTCTGTCCACTTAATACCAATGCGGAGGATAGGCAAATTGGACACTGCTTGCTGAATGTGGGCGTGGTCGCTGGTGACTCGAGAGATGAGCTGGGCCGCGAGCGCTTTCTGCCACTGCATCCCAGGCATCTGATGCCGCGAATACAGTCTGGTACTTGGCTGGATAAATATTATTACTTCAAGCCAAATGTAAATACTTACACAAATTCGAAGCGTGCATATTCTGTAGATCTATTGAATGTTTACAGTTGAGCGATTGCTGTTCCGATTCGGGCATCAGTTTCCATTACACCAAGATGTATGACTATGATATGTACGAGTTTTTTCTATATCATCTGCGAATCTTCGGACTTCCAAAAACGCCGAGTGTGCTGCCCCAGCGCTTGGACTACAAACAGATGGAGGAAAAGCTGCAATATTGGGATCAACAAATATCTGACAATACAGCGCCAATAGACGATTAATTTAGCACTAATATTATTTCCTAGCGTAAAGTGAGACTCATTAATCGATAAGTACTTAGATGTCGAAGATGTCGAAGATGTTTATAGAATTCTATATATACAAAACTATTTGTTCTGACTGATCAGGCACAGCCCAAATCAAGACAGTTGTTTGCTATTTTTAGTTTTGTTTGGCAGCTTTCTGTTTTCTGTTCAATCAATATTAAGACTTTGCCGTTCCGAATAGCTTTACTTGTTTATCTTTATCTGTTTTAGGCTAATTTTTAAGCGCACCTTTTGAAAAGACACCCCTTTTGTTAAAATTAGAGGATTATGGCTGTAAGTTGGCTGGCGAATGTTTTATTTTCGTTCAGACGGCTTAAGACTCATTTTTATACCCTGATCCCATAAATGGGTTAAAGGGTAAACCGTGATTTTGCAAATTTATGTATCCGGCAGAGGGAAAATTCTTCAACCCCATACAGAAGTATGTAGATTTCTGTTCGAATCGAGCAGCTGAGTTGTTGCAGCCATGAGTAAAATAACTAGAGACTTGAAACTTATAATATATGTTCTCCCGCAGAGCAAGGATTATTCTTTTCTTTCCATCGATTATATGACATGCTTACTTTAGCATAGGTCGTGTGTCTCATATGTTTTATATTTGGAATATTTCATTTTAAGATATAACCCCAATTCCCAACAATATTGAAATAAAGCCTTGTACACACTTGTATGCAACATATTTAAGCCCTGAAAATTTGACAAATTCATGTTCATCAAGAAATAGTGTGGGGAGGAGGGAACTAGAATGTTTGCAAGTGTGGCTGGGCGCTGGGTACAGGGTATCTTAAAGTTGGGCCCTTCCGACTAGAGCACTCTTTGTTAGTTATTTCATATATGCATATTCAGACCATTACCCAAGACAATATAATTCATCTTAACTGCTACTATTACTATGTTAGAATATTCTATTTAATAATATTACTATCTAAAGTCAACACAAGTATTCTGTTGAGCGGAAAACAACTGCGAATGGTAAATAATTTGTGGATTAGATAGACTTCCAAGTAGCGTGCAGAGAGAGAGAGAGTTGAAATGTGGACAGAAATAAATAAATATTTATCCATTGTAAAGTCTATATAAGTAATATGAAACAATAACCATTTCGGATCCAAGGACTTTGATAAATGATATAGGCGTATTGTTGAGCTTAATATAATTGGGCGACTTTGTAAATAAAACAAGAGACACATAGCTGGAACTAAGATTTATTTGACAATGAAGCAAACAATTGCATGTTGTCATGGAGAGCAAGAGACAAGAGGCAATAGACAAAAACGATAGAGGGAGGGAGAGAGAGAGAGACCTAAACTTTAGCTGTCCAGTGGCACAGCTTTGGCCATTTGTCAAAGGAGTCGGGTGGGTAGAAATGCAGACCCCTGCTTTAAAGCCCAATTTATCACAAAGACGTCGGCCGCGTGCCGCGTGCGCCGTCCGCCTCTAAGGATTAGAGGGCATAGGAACAAATACGTATTGGAATCGAGAACCGGAAAATCGAGTGAAACGTGCCAAACACGTGAAAAATACCTGGGGATCCGAGCTGCTTTTATAATACTGTGTTTTTTTTTTTGCATCCGCGTCGCTATTGTTGTTATTTATGAGCATCGAAATGAGCTGAAACTGCAGCACAATGTCGATATGTCGAAATGGGGTGGGGCTGGTGGCACGCGAGCCTCGTCTGGCATCGCCTGGCCTCGCCTTACCTATGGACCGCACCTTGGATAAGGATAAACATGTTTTTGGCAAAGCCAGCAACGGCAGCTGGCACACAGTAAATCGAAATGCAGTCGAGCTGTAAATGTTATGTAAAATGTGTAACACATTCCCAAGCCGATTGTATGCGTGTGTATGAGTGTGTGTGTGTGTGTCGCTATCTAACTGGGGGTTGCGTTTGGAACGTGTCGTGGATCGTGCCCGTCTACCCTAACTATGCCTGCGCTTGCGCAGCGACCGCTGCGCCTTTTGTTAGCTTAATTTCCATATATGCATACAAAAAATAAATACGTGGCATGTTCATCCAGGGAACTTTGTTGATTGGAACAGTTGGTACGGAGCTTTATCTGCTCGCTTAACAACCTCATGCAAATAGGTCCAAGCGTGTAGAATTGAACACGTGTGCTGGCCAACAAGCCGTGAACATGCAAATGACTGTGGACCTGGAACGGGTCCTAGTCATGCAGCGAACAGCATGACAGATTTCTATGCCGGATTGTTATCAGTGGCATGCCACGAGGCAGCAATTGAAATGCCGTGCTGCCAGCACACTCGATAAATTCCCGGCAGCTGCTGAGCTGCTTTGGGAAATTCGTGTTGATAAAGCTTTCTGTTTACTTTAAGATTCAATTTTGGGTGACAATTAGTTATACAATTTTTTTTAACAGATAGGGTTTTGAGAAGAAAGCGGTTAATCGTTCAACCAAATATTAACTTGAATTAATTAATTTACTTTATTATAACATTTATTTTGCGTATGTTTATGTGCGAAACATTTTTATATGTTAATTGGAATTTCAATTTATACAAACGAGGAATATTTTATAGCTTCAGGACATATAATACTATAATTATTGTTATTAATTAAAACTACAATTGGTTTTTCATTTCATCTTGTATCATATGTATCTGATATTTCATAGATACATGAAATTTCTTTTAGTCACAAGCTTAACTGTGATTTTTTTATATTTTATGAATCTTGCTATCTTATAATCGAATTCATCAAAAGATTGGTTCTTTTCTAAAAATATGCTTTCAATACCCAAAACGCACTTGCGTCCTCTTCAAATAGTTCTCAATTCAACTCGGCTGCCCTAAAGAAACTAAAAGTTATCTCGGTAATATCCGTTAACCAGTTTTTCAGCCACAAATTTGCACAGAGGAGGACTTCCTATTCTAACGACTTAATGGCGTCCTTCCTCAAGGAGGTTCTTCAATGCGCAGCCCGGCACGCCCTCCACTTTAGCTTTTACTATTTCCATTATTGTCATTGATAAACCCTTAAGTTGTCGCTTACCGCACAAATTGTCAGAATCATTCGCTGCTTAAGACCCAAGTCACAAACTGTATATATATACGAGTCCCTCCTTGGCACTCCCCGCAACGCCCATGTAATTAGTAGCATTCCAGAGCTAACAGTCGAGACGCAGGCGACGAGGCGGTCCCAGCTCGGGCGACAGGCTGTCTGGCCTGAGTGTGTTTACACATTTCGAAGACTTTTTATAATCAATTTAATGGCTTCCCTGCTGCAGAGCGAGCATAAAAAGGAACCACACTCAAGGTAAGCACGCCGAAGACAATATCTTGCCAAAAGGCACATGAATAAAAAGTCAACGCCAGGGGAATGTGGCTGTGGGCATTTCAATTTGTAGCTGCCTAAAGTGAAAACCTACAATTGGCACTTTCCAGCCAAGGAATTGCCCCTTTTTTTCTTTTTATTTTTTTTTTTTATTTTTTTTTGTATTCTGCGGCGCCGCAACTCAATTAAGTGACGAAAGTTGAATGAAAACCCAAAAGGGCAAAGCCAAAGCAGCTCACAAAGGCGGGCACCTCGCAGTTCCGATAAGAAAGGCGGCTCCGACACTGAAACTGAGAAGGGTCGTCACTGAAGCACATAAATGCTGCCGCAAAAAAAGGGGCTGCGGTGACTCAACAATGTCTTGAACGTGTTGCTTCGCTTCCTTCGGAATGTTTCTTATAAGGATTTCCACTGACTTGCAACTAGCAACCCCTAAAAGGAAACACACACACACACACAACCTAGGCAGAGGGTTTCCTTCAGCTCTGACGCGTGCCAAGCTAGCGACAGTAACAGGCTGAATAAGCATAAGATTGTGTCTGAGACCGAGACCGAGGCCAAGGCATACCTGTAGCCGGAGTAGGACCTGAGCACTGTTTGGCTGACAAGGCATTGCGGTGACGTTCATTAGGCTGTCGTCTGTCTGCCGTCAACGTCGTCGCCTCGCAGTTCCGCCATATAAATTTCTATACTGTGAGCAGCGAGCAGCTCGTGTCCTGTGAGTCACTGGCGTGTCCTAAAGCGGAAGCGACTGCCCAGACGGGGGACTGCATTTTCGTTTCATTTTTTGTATACAAAATATTGAAAATTACAACAAACTAAAAGCTGGCAATTACAGGACACGTGCACATATGCAAAAAGGACTCGCACTCGCAGGAACCGCGCTGTAAAGGAAGTGGCAGCGAAGCGTTAAATTGAAGCATGCCAAATCAATTAAAAATTGTTATGTTGCTTGTTTTACCAAACGTTTGCCTAGCAACATATATGTTTTCTTTTTCTGCTGCAAATTCTTTTTTTTTTTAAACATTTTGTGTGCTGTGATGTTGCGTTGCCCGCATCGGCATTATTGTCAAGCAGCTGCTGCAACTCGCTTATCATATCGGGTAAAAATAAAAAAAAAATCAAAATACCTTTACACATGATTTATCCAAGCACTGCAGGCGTGTGCGTGTGTGTGTGTGTGTGTGTGTATGTTGCAGCTGCCGCTGCTTTTAGCTGCCCCCTTTGGCATTTTAGGGCTGCGATCGCCCTTGGCCGAAAAATGCTTATGCTATTGCCCGAGAGTCCAAAAATCAACCCCCTGTTAGTCGGCCCAAAACAACATTTGGGGTGGCTTCTTATCTATGTGCATGTGCACATATGTGTGTGTGTGTGTGTGTGTTTGTGTTTGTGTGTGTGTGTGCCATACAATTTAGCACAGCTCTCATTTATTTGGTTGTCGTTATTTTATGCACATAAATTGCATGAAATCCATAATTTTCTAGTACATATACCTACTATACTAAAATCTGCCCATGCGAGTGGCTACTGTTACAATTGTAGCTCCTAACGAAACACCCCGTTTCCAGTTCCCTAATTAGCTATCCATCTGGCTGTTTCGGTGTCCAGGACGCAGTGGTTGTCGTCTGTATGCTAGATTTTTAATAGGCGAGCGAGGCAATGAACTCTTTACCGACAAGTCCCTTCGGGTGGAACTAATGAAAATTGGTATAGTAGCTGTGCGAGCGTATCTTTTTGGTTGTGTAGAAATTAAATATTAGGTTTCGAATATTTCAACTAAACCTGATCTGCTTAAGGTGTATAGAGCTGTGCAAGTGAGTAAATCGGAGGGAGTTTGTGTATACTCAACATTAATATAAGCTTCTAGGTGATTTGTATAAGATATAGAATAACCTATTGTAGAGGGGGTAAGATGAGTATAACTTTAATAATAAGCCTACAACCAATTAAAGAGTGAGAGTAGAAAATTGAATATGTCATTTTTCTGAACACATTTCACACTCTTCATTTCGCTGAAGTCAGTTTTTTTTCCCACCAACTGGCATCAGATCATCGCAGACAGTTGCTTTTGGAAGATGACTAAGACCGTAAATTTGGTTATCTTGACATTGGATGACAGGCATATAGACTTTGTCTATTGTCCAACTACTTTCGTGTATCTGAAGCTTTGGCAAAACAAACGCCTGATGCTGATAAGCATCGGATAAGGTGGCCATGTAAATCAAATTTCTTACAACAAATATGCACAAGCAGCCAAATCAGAATAAGACGCGCCGCTTTCCAGATAAGCGTCTGCCTATATAAAGAGCTTAGCTCTGCTGCAGAGCCCAGAATATATTCATACATTCAACAGGATGCAGTGCACCATAATAGCTCTGATTGCGATCTGTTGCCTGGGCACAGGACTTTCGGCGACCACAACAGCGCCCATAGCAGCCAGGCCCGCAGCTCCCGCTAGAAATTTCTATCTGGATCTTAAGAGCATATTGCGCAATATTCCACATAAACAGATCGAGCATCTGGTCCAGGCCTATCTGCTCAACGATGCCGAGTTCCAGGCAGTCATACGGGAGATCAATGCACTAACCACGTATCGACTGCGATTACAGCTGCTCAATCAGCCGGAGTTGCGCCAACTGCTGCAGTGGTTGTCCCAGCAGCTGATCCTGTCAGGTGGCTCCCTCAAGGTATTCGACGATCTGGACCTAGAGATCAAGGTGTTTAACAAATACCCCCACTGGGCACAGACGGTGAATGGCATAACCGGTTTCGAACAGGAATTTAACTATATCTATCCGTTGACATCCATACGCAAGCTGCTGGAGACAAATGCCCAGGAAAGTCCCGTCTTCGGTGAGTTCTGGCGTCGTGTTGTTGCTTTGGAGCCGGCCTATGACCGATTCTGGGCCACACCACAAGCCACAACATTTGTCAACCGATTGCGCACTTTGGGCGTTGATGTCAATGGCTTGGATTACTTTGTGCGCTATCAGCTAGGCTGGAGAAATGATACCTCACCCAGTTACTACGACTATGACTACAATTATGGATTTTATTAAAGTGGCAGGGAATGAGTGAGGGGAGCAAGTGATCAAGTAAAAACAAAATTATGCTATATACTTATATAAATAACGCGATATTATAAAATATATATTACTAAATATCAAGCCATACTGTAAAGTAATTAATGTGTTTTTGGAAAATTGTGGAGATTGTGAAGTGTTCGCGATTTAATGTTATTTGTCGATGTGTTAAGTTGTCGATGTAATTGCATATCTCTGGAATCTTTTTGCAAGTGTGTTTAAGGTTTGTGGCAAGAAGTTCTAGCTAAAAATCCTAAGGAAAATTGTTTTGTGATTATGTTGGAACATTTTCGGGACATAGCATGAGGCCACATTTTTGGGTATCATCTTTAAAATGAATATGTTTGCCATTGACAGGGCAGTGGATGGGAAGCTGTAATATCTTTGCCTTTTCAATTTTCTTCGGAATAGAGGCTGACGGATAATTGTATTCCAAAAGAGAATCCATAGAATTGTAAAAGTTAAAATCAAGGAAATCTCATTTGCAAGCATTTGCTTTAAACTTCATGAATGACAGCAAAGGAACTTAAGCGAGTGGGTGAATGGGCTGTATGAGTGAGTGTATGCACAGCCCCCTGATGTGGTGAGGTATCTATGGCAATGCCATGATTAAGTAACAGATGAGCCATGTGCCGAGCAATGTCCTGGCCATGGCCTGGCACTGCTTATGGGTCGCACATGCGATTTAATTGAAACAAACCAAACAGGAAACGGCGCAGCAGCAAATGGGGTGCTTTTGTAATGAAGTCCACAGTTGGCAGTTGCCACTTCCCAGTTGCCAGTTGCCAGTTGCCGGTTCCCAGTTCCCAGCACTCGGATACAGTTACTCATTAAAAGTGGCGAGCCGAGTCGCAATGAGGAGGCGGCGGCAGCGTCGGCCACGGAATTGGAATTGCAACGGAAACTAGTTAATGTGAGGCTATTGTCAAAAGCAGAAGCGCAACTTGTGCAATTTTCACACAGCAGCGACGCCGACGTCGACGTCGATGCCAACGCCGCTGTCAACGTCGACAGCAAATCTTGCACAGGATCTTTGCCTGCTAGGCGGCGGCTCAACAATAATAATAAAACGAAAAAAAAAAAAAACAGAAAAAACAATGCAAGGAAAAAAGGGAAAATTAAAAGAGTCGCCCCTTTTTTTGCGGTGTACGCGTCCAATTGGAATTTTATATAGTAGACAGCGGCACGGGGTAAAAATGAAATATATTTTATATATGAGCCCTGCAATATCCCGGCCGACAGTTCGAACCCTTCAGCCCAGCGTGCACTGTGACTGACATGCGGATATACGAGTCTGGAATATGCGGCTGCAGTTTTAGCCACCCCTAAAATGTAAAAAGGCGCCCTAAAACATTTTTAAAGCGCTTTGGAAATCAGCAACAGCCTCAGCCTCAGAATTGGAATCGGAATCGGAATCGGAATCGCGCTACGCTTGAGCTCTGGTTTATATTCTGGTCTATATCAAGGGGCTCGAATTCTGTTTTCTCCCCTTAATACCCTTCGCTGGTTTGGTTTTGGCTCGTGTGCGCCCTACGACATTTTGGTTAGTGTTTGAAAATGCACCTGGCTACATTTTTTTTTTTTTTTTTTTGTGGGCTTCGATTCCGTTCGACTCTTGTGCGTGTGCGTGTGTGTGTGTTGTTGGGTGGTTGTTGGCTGCTTGCAATGGCTTGCATTGTGATTTCCATGGCGCACATGCCAATGTGTGTTTGCCTATGTGGAAAATGACCCTTTGTAGCATTGACGCTATGCACCGGCAACTATGCGACTGCGACAGCGACAGCGACTGTGCACAGCAAGGACATTAGCAGCAACAATGGCAGCAGCAGCAGCTACAACAACAACAACAACAACAACAATAACAATAATAAAGGAACGTTGGTTGCTGGTCGCGTGCCCGAAGCACTTCGACACCCAACTGAATTGTGAATTGTGATTGTTTTTCCTTTTTCTTTGCACCGCTTTTCCTTTTCGCATTTTGCGCGCTCATGCAAAACGCTTTGACTATCTATGTGTGTGTGTGTGTGTGTTTGAGTGTCCTGCGGCGCATAAATAAATTAATGCATGTGCTCGCATATGTATTTCGCCTTGACTCACACATATAAACGTATAAATATGAGTGTATATAATTATTGCTCTTGGGCTTCCTGCCTTGCTCTATTCACTTTGCCAATTTGCTGGGTCCTTTCCAAATGGGGGTTAGTCATACGGTTTTTTGTTTGTTTTCTGTTGTGGATTAGAGTGCAAATTCCTTAATCCTAGGCAGACTTACATGTTGGCATGCCCATGCTGCGCTTGATTTATTGGGGGAATCGTTCGTTATTAAATACAAATTATAGAACTGAGTATCAAATTGAATAAAACCAAATAATTTGGAAAAAGATTAGAAAACTTTTTGGCGAAACTTTTATGTGATTCAAAATTGCCTTCTAATTAAATATCCATCACATTTTTATACCCAGAACACATTGAAAATGGGTATAATGGTTTTGTGCGATTGCATGTAACAGGCAGAAGGAAGCATCTCCGACTTCATAAAGTATATATATTCTTGATCAGCATCAATAGCCGAGTCGATCAAGCCATGTCCGTCTGCCCGTCCGTCCTCCGTCTGTATGAACGCATCGATCGCAGAACCCAGAGAATTGAAATTGTGAATGAAGATCCGAGTTTGTTTCCGATAATCTATAACTTGCCCCGTTTCCAAGCCATCGTTAAAAGTCGATGGAATACTATTTACAGATGAAAGATTTTTAATTTGGTGCACTTGCAGTTGCTAGAATATGATTCAGGGTATCCCCTAGTCGGGCATTCCGCTTAATGCACTTCTACTTGTTCCTAGTTATTATGTCCAAAATTCCTGTGAAACCCAAAACAACGGAATCTATCGCTGAATCGGCTTTTATTTAAGTTTCAACTAAACAACTGCAAGCAAATGGCTGTCAGTCAGTCCGTTAAAATTGCATAGCTATTTGAGACCATTTTCCGAATCAAAGTAAATCCTCAACAATTAAAAAAATTGAAAACGAGCTCACACACAAAGCTTACTAAATAAATAAACCAACAAAAAAAATAAATAAATTGCAGCTTGATAAATATTTTTATCAGAGCGCCGCAGGCAAAGCCTCAAAAAAAAAAAAAAAAAAAAAAACAAACAAGTGAAACCCAAAAACAATTCCACGCTCCACCTAAATTGCTGTTAATTGGTGCGACGCGAATGTCAACGAGCTGTGATCCCGCTCTAATCGCCAGCATATGGCACTCGAAACAAAAATGGAAAATCAACGGAAAACAATTTTACTCTGAAAAACGCAAAAAGAAAGAAACAAAAAAATCAAGAGGAAAAATGCCAAATCCCAGCCAGTTGCTGTAAATTTTTTGCGAGCCGCACAAAAAATTGCATCAAATTATGAAAGCAAAAATTTAATTACAGCTCAAACCAGAAAAAAAAAGGTAGCCCCAACTGGAAGCAGTTTGGGTTATAGCCAGCGGCGACAATGGCAACATGTGCTACAGTGGAGCATCCTTGAGGAGCTGCCCAAGCAAAAGTACATGGCGGCTGAAAAGCCTTTTGAGACACACAAATGCAAATGCATTATGCCACATAAACGATGCATTTTCGAACATTAATTATTGCCAAGCAGGCAGGATGACAGACGTGGCCTGGGCCTGGGCCTGGGCCTGGGCCTGCACTTGAAATTACCATAAAAAGATGCACTTAAGGGTTAGCAATGAGCAAGCAACAAACAACAAACAAAGTGCGTATCTCAGGCAACTCAACAGCCCGTGCTGGGAATGGGTTGTCCGACGGGGGAGGCGCACTGTCATCTCGGGTCGTCCTGGGTGTTGTTGAGTGCAAATTTAAGCTAAGCGCGCCTTGGAGCACAGAAATCCGAGCAGTCAAAGGAATATGCCGAATCGAGGTGCGAGTCTAGATGGAAATAACGCGGCATTTGTAGCTGACAGCCTGACTGACTGATGAGCTGTTTGGTTTGGGTTGCGTTGGGCTAAGGGGGAGTCGGTTGCTAAACAGGGTTGGAATTTTTGTTCTTGCCCCGTTGCTGGGATGCTGCTGCTCGCGTGGCCGGCGCACTTCTGTGACTTGTTTTGCGCTCAGCTTTTAGCTCTCAGCTCGCATCTCGCAGCTCTCTGGCTTCGGCTGCTCGGTGCGTGTGCTATTAATTCTAAGCTGCATGGCAAACACAGATTCCAGCTACGAAGGGGTCACCACCCCGTAGCCGATCGGTACTGGCAAATGCTGCAGCGGCAACGCTGTCGCTCTGGGAATACTTTAAGCCCAATTGGGGTGGCGACAGCGTCGTTGCCGTTGCCACGCACGTGCCTACCGTAATACAACAACAACAGAAGCAGCAGCAGCAGCAGCAGCAGCAGCAGGAACAACAACAATGGCGTCATATTGAACATAATATGCCATATTTGTGTTTGGTGCGAGCGGTACAACCAAAAGCCCTTCACTGGGAATCGAAAGTGCATTCCCTTTCATGGTAACCACGAGGACAACGTCGGCAACGGCGTCGCATTTCGATTATATTAATGTAAAGCACACACATACACTCGCACACACTCCAAGCATTCTGACAATCGCTTTGTGGTGGCTGAGCAGACCAAGCTGTGCCTGTGTGTGCCTGTGTGTGTGTGTGTGTGTGTGTGTGTGCCATGTGCCTACCCCACCAAAAGCAAACTTGACAAGCTTGCCTGTGTCTGTGTGCGGCGTCTGTGCGTAGCGAGTACGAAGACCGAGCAGGAGCAGCAGCAGGAACGGGAGCGAGAGCAGGAGCTGAAGTCGTCGACACTGCCACAGTCAGAGCCAGAGCCCAATGAAAACCTGAAAATGCAGCAATCACCAAAAAATACACATCAAGAAAAGATACATATAAACATAATATATTTAAGATCATATATTATTTTATGGCCAATATGGGGCTACGATTTGACGACATTTGGCTGGAAAGTTCCAAAGGAACATTATCACAAGTTCTAAAGTTACTATATTAATGATAATATTATCATTATAAATTCTCAATATATCAATATTCATTTTATTTGAATTTATTAAAGCTATTGCTATCAGTTTGGCATTTGATGTTGTGGATTTCTAAGAATATTGGCGAATATGTCAACTGGAATATGGAATATCTCTATATATATGCTGGAATTTTCACTGCAGTTACCTTATGGTATGGAGTTTCACGCTAAGACTGGTTTTTGGAAATTGGATTTCGAGCGAATAGAATTTCTGGCAGTTCTAATTCCGGAGCGAGCCCATACTTATTTATATTAAATACATTTTACTGGAATAATAATCAGTACAAGTCAGAAGATGTAGGTTGTTTTCTCTGGTATTAGGCAGGTCGCAATTCGTTCTAATATCTGAAGACTTCAACAGTATTGAGAATCATTTAAAATGCTCAACTTCATGATGATGAGTATAAAAATGTTTCCAATTGCCACAGCTGTTTAAGAGTTTGCACACGAAGGTAACACAATATGGGCTCTGCTTCAGGTCATTCTGGCCCATTGAGTTTCTGTTTGTGAGCACATTTACCTCTGGTTACACGCACAATTAACGGTTTCATGGCTATCAGCTGTTTGCCAAGATCTACAAGAAAGGAGCCAAAAGGATACCAGACAGATCTTTTGTGTGTTGCCAAATTTCCATGAATCAAAGATTTTGCACGTTAAACCCGAACATGTGTTCCAGTTCCTGTCGCGTGTCCTTTTTGGCTGCGTGGCATTGGCAACCTGAGGCACAGCTGCAACATAAAATTGCTGCACAATGATTTCTCCAAGTGCAGGCAGACACAGTGCAAAGGACTTTCACTGCCAGCGTCGACGACTGCTCCGGCTCCCCCCGCCTGGCGACGAGTGTGTGTGTGTGTGTGTTGATGTGTATGTGTGTGTGTCTATATGGAAAAAAGGGTGACTAATGTGTGTGATTGCTAACAAAAGATTCCGGCTTGGCGGCGGCATCGCTGCCAGCGTCAACGTCAACGTCAGCAGCAGCAGTGGCAGCAACGGCGAGGGCTAAAAGGACAACGACTCGAATTGGGGGATGAAATTTCCAAGAGCGACGCCGTCACAACACACAAACAATGATTTTAATTTCGCTTTCCTTTGGCACACATAAATAGAGGCGGCAGGATATGATGTTAGTCATTCGCAGCAAAAACGTCGAGCCGACAGGAAGCAGCCAAAGGAGCGCTCAACGTTGCCAACGTTTCAATTTGTTGTTAAGTTTTGCTTAGTTCTTCAACTCTTTGTTCCTCCCGTTCACTGTTCACCGATCACCGTTCACCGATCACCGTTCACCGATCACCGTTCACTGTTCACCGTTCACCATTCATAGCTCATCCTTAGCTGTTCCCCGTTTCCGTTTCCGTTTTCGTTTATCGTTTCGATCAAGTTCTTAAAGCGCGTTCAAGTTTCAGTTTATCACCATTTCGTTGATACGCGGAACAGTGCAATGGCCAGCGTCGCCAACCATCAGTCGACAGTGTCCAACCACAGCCAGCATCCGCATCCGCATCCGCACACGCACAGCATACAGCTGCTGCACAATGCGACAGCTGGGGGGCTGCCCCATGGCCTTGGTCTGCTGACCACAGTGGCTTCGCTGCCGCCCAAGTATCGCAGCCGTTATCTGAACATCAAAACCAAGTGTGAAATTCCATTGGACCTGTCCGTGAAACCGCCGTCGCCAGTGCCAAGCAGCGATGTGCCAATGGCGACCACATTCACTGAGGTTCACAGCGAGCCAGCAGCAACGGCAGCCGATGAGCTGCCACAGGAGCTCACACAGGAGGTGGAGGTTGCGCAGGAGGTCGTCGTCATTACGGAGAAGCCCATAACACCGCCACAAAGTCCAGCTGCCGTTGAAATCGCAGTGGCTTCACTCAAGCGCAAGTTGAGCGAACAAAGCGAAGCTTTGCCCGCTGCCAAATTGGCCAAATCTGAGGTGAGTCCCGCACCCGTCGAAGCCACGCCCGCAAAGCCCATTAAAGTCTCGGACACGGCGCCGCGCACCGGCAAAGCGACCACAGCCAGTGCCAAATCGACGCGCAACAAAGCAACGCGCAAATTAAAGTTCGATGAGGAGACAAGTTCACCAGTTTCGGGCACCATCATTAGGCCGCTAGAGGACATCACCGATGGCACCATGCAGTACAGCAATGGCGACATTGATCCCAAGTACAACATTGTCGAAATTACTGAGGAGACCAAGGCGGAGCTGGCTGCCATTAGGAACGTAATTGGTGACTATGTGTGCCGGCTGTGCCGCATCAAGTTCGACGATGCCTTTGGTCTGGCACGACATCGTTGCGCCTGCATTGTGCTGCTCGAGTATCGCTGCCCGGAGTGTGGCAAGCAGTTCAATTGTCCCGCCAATTTGGCTTCACATCGCCGCTGGCACAAGCCCAAGAAGGAGGCGGCCGCTGCCAAAAAGGAGAATCGCAACACCAGTAATCAACAGGTGCCAGCGCCACAAGCCAACTCCAAGAAGCCAGCCGAAGAGCTGGCCTTTGATTGCGGCGAGTGCGGCAAGAAGTTCAAGCGGGCTGCCTATCTGCGCAAACATCAACAGACGCATGTGAAGAAGGCGCAGACTGCTGGTAAACTGGAGCCGGAGCCGGAGTCGGGGCTGGAGAGGCAGCCAGAGTCAGCCAACATTATAACTGGCAGCTTCCAGACGGCCGTCTATAAATCCAATAGCTCCAGTTCGACCAGCAGTTCGCATTCTTACGCGGGCACTCACGACGATGAAGGCGTCTATGTGGCGGGCGCGGCGAGCAGCAGCCACTATGACTACGAGGCCGACTACATGTCCGACTGCAGCTCCTCCACCTCTTCCGCTGGCTATGGTCGGCTCCAGATAGTGGAGCACGGCCTGACTGAGGAGGAGAGCATTGCAGCTGCTGCTCTCACAAATCTGCGTAATTGCGCCTCCGTCATTCAGCACACGACGATGGCGCACTGAGTAAGTGTGGAACTTGGAGCGCTTGGCACTTGTATAATTTGTTTATAGTCCCGTATTGTTAAGTTTAGTGTTTAATTTTTCTCTTGTTTTGGGGAGAACTGCAGCTGAAACAGACCAAAGAAATTAGTTTTTATCATGCGAATTCGACTTGAATTGAATTTTAGTTGTACACATTTAGTTACTAGTTGATTTCTCAAGTATCTAGTCATTTAGTTTTTACCAATGAGTTATAATTCTAGTCAGCTCCAAACTTCGAACGACATTCCAGTTATGTGTGTACTAATCGAAACCAAAGACGGCAAACAGTCTAGTCAGCTTAGATTTTAATTAGTTACCTTAAAGTATGCTTAGTATTTATTTCTAGTCAGTCCAAACAAATATTTGGAACTAGTCAGCATCAATATGATCTCAGTAAAATGGCTAAGGTCAGAGCAGGCTAAGGCATTTTTCGCGTAGTCAGTAAAGTTCTAGTCATATAGATAATGTCTAGTCAGATCTTAATCAACTAATGGCAATAAACTATACCAAACATAAAATATACAGACTAAGCTATAGAGTTAGGAAATTCCAATCCCAGTTATCTTTCATATATCAAAAATTCACTCTACTTTCAAAGTTCTTTCCTAAATCTTTCCTTTCCATCTAACATAATGTCACCAAAGAAATCATACTAAATATTCTTTTATAAAAATCATTCGCAATCTCCACTTGAAAACTTATAGCATAACATCATCTATCCATTATTCACACACATTTTCTTAACTTTTCTTAACTCAGATTCTCATTCGCAATCAAAACTAAAGTGTTTATATCACGTCATCTATATAATATGCCTCCAAATTTTTCGCTAACTCTCATCTATTTTCGTATCATATATATTTCATATTTATTCGAAATCTCCAGTTCAGTGCTTATTTGCAAATATTTTCTTCATAATTCACCTTTTACTTCATCATATATATTTCATTCAGTCATGTCATCTCTCTACTTTTCCATCACCTTCATTTCAACTTTCATCCATAGTCTATCATATTTCATTCTTACAATCATCTCACATACATCACAATCACATTTATTATAATATAATACATAAGATCATACTTTCCAATTCCACCATTATAACACAAATTTATTACATTCTAGTCAGCAATTTAGGCAGTCCCCTAGTCAACTTAGAAGCTAGTCAACTTTATTTTACAACTGATTAAAATTTATTCAAATTCATACACAGTTCTAGTTTAACTTTAGGCAAATCATTTATTTACATTTTTGATTTTCTTTCAAATTTCAAAAACTCAAAATCGAAATTCAGGCGAAATTGTGCAGTACTAGTTTTAAGTTCATCCAAACCAAAAAGAAAGCAAAAAAACCAACCAAATATCTAAACTAAGCAATGAAATCCAGTTTCCGTGCTGGTAACCAAAGTTGAGTGTGAACTCTAGTCATTTTGTAGAACCCTAAGTTTTGAGGCATTAGCTCAGCATCAGTTTAGTTTAGTTAAGTTTAGTTTAGTTCAGTTCAGTTAGCTTAGTTAGTTAGTTCTCTTGGTTAGGCTCACCAAAACGGACACTGAACCAGCGTTTCACTACCAGTAAAAGTATTTAAAAGAGTACAACTTAACGTGTAGACACCATAAATGTACATAAAATAGGTCTATGGTATATATTCTTGGCCAGAGGCAACAACAGAACCGGCGGTTGTGTACTTAAAAGTCAACTCTTAATTTATAAGCTAACAATTCAGAGCAATATCACAGCGCTATTGTTCCTTAGTCTGTAGAATGCAATGCAATTGGTTGTAACCGCAGAGTACAACGAAAGTGGGAAATCTTCGCTCAATCTACCATATAGTACTATATATATATATACATATACTAGAGATACGTAATATATCACTGATAAGCATATCTAACTATTAAGTGAGATTTTGTGATATTAAAATATTAAGCCTAAAGTTTACAACGACTTGTGCTCGATGTTTTTGTCCGAGCAGAGTGCATTTACAATAACAAACGAATTCGATTGTGTACCATAATTAAGGATAAGGATTGAAACAAATCTATTTTTATACGTAATATTTGTATTTTTGATAACATTTTGAGAGAATTTGTACAACTTGATTATAAAACTTATTGAATAAAATGTGAAAAAAAAAGAAATGAACAGAAGAGAAACTTCTGGTGTTTTCCCTTAGCTGGCATGTTAACGCGCAGTTTATGTTGCCATCAAATTGAATATGGGTTGCCAGGCAAATATTCCCCTTCCACGTTCCCCCTTGCGGCATCAGAAACTGGTGGGTAATCACTTTATAATTGTGGCGCTAGTAAACACTTCCCATATGAAGTGCTCATAACCATATAGACTGCTCATGCACATGCCTGACAATGGCTTTTCTCAGAGGGTGGAAACGAAACCCCCAACTGTAACTGGAATTGGTTTTCTGTCTATTCATGACGATGAAGAAGGCGTTTTACTATGTTTGTGTCTTGGCAATTTTCTCATCATGTTCAATGGCCCTTTTTGATGGCTCGTAAAGCAACTGCAACTGATGGGTAAACAAAACCGCAGCAGCAGCAGCGGCGGCAGCAGCGGCGGCAGCGGCAAAAGCGGCAGCAGTAAACAGCTAACGGTGCAAATGTAATGAAATGCCACTAAAGGACATTGACATGGCCCATCGATCTCCACTACGCAGCACTTAAAAGCAGCCAAAACAAATAACCAGATGCACTCACACACACACGCATGCATGCACAGGAAACTTCGATAGCGGAAGTGGACAGATGCAACTTGCGCCTAAGCACACAACAACGGCAACTGCGTTAAGGAAATGCCGCAGCAAGGGGTGCGTATTAGGCGTGGTTGGGCTGGGTTGCCCGTGCGGGTGGAGGCGGGGGTGGTGTGCTGCTGGACCAAAACGTTGAACACGCCAACTAATGATGCCCCGAACGGAAGTGCGTAAAAAATGTTTAATCAAATACAAATGCATGACAGCACGGAAAACAGCCGAGAATAATGCAGCTGAGTGTGCGACTGGGAGATATCCTGTCGAAATTGTGCTAAAAAAAATATGTAAGAAAAACGATTTGGACTCAAAATTAACCACGAATACAAATCGTATGTATTAAAAAAAAGAGAACTGCCTTAAATGTAGTAAAAGTAGGAACAAGAAATATAAAAGTATTATATTTGATGTTGTTGCTTAGTGAAGCCCGAAAACTTCTCAAAGCTTATCTTTAATTTGAGCTGCCTCTTGTATGCCAAGCAAATCCTTTAGAGTTGCTATTGAGCAACAATATATTACAGGGTACAAGCGCCGCCGCACTGAAAAAGCCCAACAGGATGCCGGGGGATGTGCGTGGTGGCAGCTCATCGTGTGCGTGTGCGGTGTGAATCAATTTAAAGCGTCAAAAGAGCCGTATACTATTTAGTAGATGTCCTGTACAGAGCGAAACTTCAATGAATACAGCGCGCGAAGGGTGATGGAATTATGTAAAATCATGCCGAAATAAAAAACTACCCTTACCTCCGACCAAGCCGGACGGTCTGACGGTTGACAGGGGGCAAGGCAGCATCATTCATCGCTTGGTTATAGAATACGGCAACGCGGGCGTGCCCAAAAAGTCAGGCGGGGCAGGCAAAGTCATTAAAATTTGTGGCGATTGGGTTTCAAAAATAATAAAAACGCGGCATGTAAACTGATATCTGAGTGCGTGCAACTTGCATTTGCACCTTGGCACGAGACATACAGCGCAGGACACGGATATGGACATACCTTTGCTGGCAAGCCCGCATATGATGCAGGATCGCAGCCGCATAACAGCACTCACTCTTCTGCGGGCATCGCTAGCGGCAGCTGCTCCTGTTGCCCACATCCAGTGATGTCTAATTATGAGTTTAGGACTGCGACCTGCTGCGGTAATTTGCCCACCTTGAGAGGCTGCTCGAGCATTTGTCGCACTTGAGGTCCTTGCGATATGCAGGCGCTTTGTTTGGCCCTAAGTGGCCGTATGTTCGTTTTCTATGCAAAGAGTTGACAGATTGATAAGCCTGATTGGCTTGGCCGATGAGTGGCCACTTGAGAAGCCTTTATGATTACCATCATCGTTATCCTTATGCCGGCTTAACCGTTACATTTGCTAGCGAAAGCTCGTTCGGCTTTTGCGCAGTGTAAATGCCAGTGTTTGCAACTCTGCACAGCTGGCATTTAGCAACTCTGCATGGCGCACAGCAAGTTGGCAGCGCTGGGAGTCCAAAACAATAACGGTTAATGGTACTTTTACTCACGCTCTCTCTCGCGCGCTTTCTCTCTCGCTCGCAGAGCGCCAACACTCAGGCAGGCAATCAAACATGGCCAGCCAAGGAGCAGACAAAATGGAGCCGGAATCCACGCACACCTGACATTCGTGTTGTGGCGACGCTGAAAGTCAGACGTGTTGAGCGCAAGGCAGCAAATAAAATTCAAACCGAGTGCAAAGTTGAGAACAATTTAAACAGTTTGCCCGCTGGCAAAGACGCGCTTAAAAACGGTAAAATTCTGTGAAAGCTTCGCAAAGTGTTGGCGATTGTCAATTAAAAAATCCATTGTTTACATTTCGATTGGCTGCTGCAAACTTGATAATTGCCTAAAAAGCCCAAAGTCCGAAAACATGACGTGCTGGCAGCATGTGCTGCCTATGGAGATGTTGCTGGGTCGGAAACGGGGGTGGGGGACGGCGAAGGCGTCCATGACGCCTGGCGGGGGGCTGCTGTGCGCGCTGCGCTCTCGCTCTCTCTGTAGTTGGCGCTCAGGGAAAGCTTTGCAAGTCTGCGTACTTATTGATTGTGTGTCCTCTTACGCTCTCAGTTACTCTCACATACGCTCTCTCACTTGTTGTTGGCTATTGCGATATTAAATAACGGTACATTTCTGAGATTTGAAAAGCTTCTGGCTTTGCGCTTTGCCTTTGCCTTTCGCCTGGCGTGCGTTTGCGTGCTTTGGATAAATTTTTCACAAATTTTCATTTTCAGTTTTTCTCCTGACTGTTTTAGGGCGGTTCCGCAAGGCAGAGGCCAGCTACTCAGCCAGCATAGAACATAGCTTGGACACGTCTCCCAACACTCTCTCTACGTACGTGCCACCAAGTGTGTGTGTGTGTGTGTATGTGTGTGTGTGTGTGATTGCGTTTGTGTGTATGAAAATTTGTTGCAAATCAAAAACAAATTCACCAAATATTTAACAACAACAATATGCTAAAATATTCCGTGGCTGTTTACCGACAGATGAAATGAGCCAAAAAAGGCAACAATCAATTTAGTTGTGAGCGCGTGTAAAGCGAAATCCAAGCACATGAAAATATTATGACAAAAAAGAAATGTTGTTATTGTGTCGGAGCACATGTGAGTTTGAGTGTGTGTGTGTGTGCGCATCTGTTAGACAAGCTTTTGTGTGTGTTTGTGTTTCTGTGTAAAATTCAATAAAATGCGAAAATTGCAATTGCCAAAAGGCAATTACAACAAAAAATAGAAAAGCCACACAGCAAACACAGACACATGCAAGCAAACACACACACGCACACACACACATGCAAATGACAGGACATACTGACACACAGACTGTAGAAGGCAGCGCCTTTTTTGGTGTGCGCGTAGTTTTGATTTTCTCTGTGGCTCTGTGGCTTACTTTACCCACTGATTTTCGCAGCGACTTTGAGTTGCCTCTGTGTTGGTATGCGCGTGTGTGTCTCTCTGTGTGTGTGTGTGTTTGTGTCCTTCTGCTGCTTACGTACGCAGACTGACTGACTCGATGCGGCTACCCCGAATGCCCGTCAGGTCTTTCGCACAGTTTTGTGCCTTTGTGTCCTGCGCCCATGAAATGAATGCGTATTCAATGAGCAATGAAATCCGTGACACATTCGCGCTTCGGTCTCTTGTCCTGTCCGTCTTTCAGTGTCAGTCGCCTTTTCCTTTTGCATTTTCCATTTAATTTATTTTTTATTACATCGCTAGCCTTTGTTCTCTGTGCTCTGGACCGATATCCGTTTTAAATAAAGGCGACATTAACACCATAACCTCTGACATTTATCTCGAATCGTTTTGTCTACTTGCCCGCACTTGCTACGTTAAATGCTTTTCAAGTGCAAACACACAAACACAAACACACACACAACGACAGAGGCATAGGCATGCCACATGTGCGGTTGTACTCTCACACAGCCACACACACACACACACACACAGTCGCATACACATACACGTACTTGCATGTGTGCGTATATATCCCTGTATTTTATGAAAGTATTTTATACATTTTGATTTGGTTGCTCGGCTTTGTTTCTGTTCTTGGCATTCGCATTGGCATTTCTGTCATGCACTTTTGCAGTTTTTGCGGCCGGAACAGGACGCATGCCAGCAGTAAGAACTGATTCTTTATACTTGCCTCATTCCGCCGTCTAATGTGCCACCAATTGTTGAGTTACGCTTTTTTAATTTTTTAGCAGGTTCTCAATAATTGGCAGCCGTGTGCTAAATTCTATTGTTAAATCGTGCAAAGTGTTCGCGTGCTCGGCCCAGACAACGAATATCGCAATATTATCATAAAACAAAAATAAATAAAGGACCTATCATAATTCAAATAACTATGCCAAATAGTGCATGACCCGCTGCAATTGTGCCTTTTCCCGTTGGAATGCTAAAAAGACAAACAAACTATAAAAAAAAAAACTTGTTGACTTGAAAAATTGCAATAAGGAGCATTCGGTTATATTTCTCTGTTTTATGGAAAAAAGGTAAGCGAATATTGCACATATGTTACTTATTATTATGATATTAATTATTATTTTCTTTTATTGAAATCTTTCTATTATTTTAAATAGTCAAAGTTCTAGCATTGGGCAATATGTATAAGCGTCATCATAAGAAACATCTTTCGTATTTTTTTATGAAGTTAATTTTGTTAATTCGATAATAATATGTCTTCTATTTCTAATAGTCTGCAATCGAAAAGTCTTGTTAAAATACAAATTTCCAAGACATTCTTTAAATTTGTATTTAACAGGCCAACTCTGTGAGGTTCTTCACTTTTTGAAGTTAGTAGGAGCTTTCTAATTATGAAATTAATCAAAGTACTTGGCGTACTCTGTGATTTCTGTGCAAATTTGTATAGGTCTGACCGAAACTTTGAGCCAAAGGTCAGAGTAGAATGAAAATTTGTTCTTATCTTATTCCTTATGTATTTTTATTTCGTTGCGTAGGCGTCATAACAACATATCCATTTACGGATTAAACATACACGAAATTTCATAGCAACTTATCCTTTCTAAACAGCCGCTGGTCGCACTGAGACGCACACACACACACATAGAAAGGCAAACCCCTTTTGATTGAAAAGTGTAACATAATTTTAGGCGCACACTTCCCGTCGGCCGATTGTTGAGCCAAACATTGTTTGGCATTTTACAAAAAGTCTATTAATAAAAATAAGCAAAAAATCAGTGCCCTAACCCAAAAGAATTAACCCAGCTCAGCATTGAAAGTGCCGAACGATGAAAAATAAAAAAGCAAAACAAGAAAAACCAAGAGCGAACAAAAAAAATAAAAAAGATATAAAAAGGAAAATATGAAGCCAAAAATGTTAAGCAACTAAGGTTGAAGGCATCGGCTCGTCGCGGCCTGCCCCCGAGTGCGTTTACTTAAGCAATCAACCCGACCTCAAATACACACACACATTCACACACACACACACACAGACACACACACACACACAGGGAGAGAGAGAGACACACATAGATCAGATATATATTGAAGGATTCTCGTTATTTGTATTATAAAAACAACAACTAAAAGAGGCCGCAAAGTAAAATAAAAAGAAACCCTTTTCTTCGTTTTTGTTTGGATGCCGTCAAAACGAAATTGGCACAGAAAACGCAGTGCATTGCGGTTGTGTATGTGTATGTGTGTGTGTGTGTGTTTGTGTGTGGTAGACAAATAAAACATTTGGCTTGTTTGCTATTGCTGTTTTCAATGCTTAGTTTTTCAATTTTGCGAAACGAAATCAAATCCATGAAACATTTACACGCATGCACAACAAAAGACGTGCAAATTTTCACGTCAACAGGCAAGACACACACACACACACACACACACACACATACGCAGACATACAAACGCAAATACACAACGACAGCTGCAGATATAGACACACACACACACACACACACGCACACTATCACGTACTTAGGCAGCTGCCAAAAATGTGTGGCGCACATTTTGGGGCGCTTTCAGCATTATTTGCACCTTGCCATCGCTTTTGGCGGACCTTTTGTTGTTTGGCATTCTTGGCTTTCTTTATGTGCGGCTTTCTCTTTCGCTCTTTCACACAGTTTGGCTGTTTTGTGTGTTTCCTTTTGGACGCAGCTTCGCCATCGCCATGCTGCAACTTCAAAGCTTTGACTCCTTGTTGTTATTTAGTGCCTTGGCGTTGCTTTTTATGCGTTGTCCTGCCGCACAAAATTTCCTTTCGTATCTCACGGCTGCGGCGATTGTATCTGCTATCTGTTGTTTGTTGTGTATCTTTTGGGGCGTGCGTGTGTGCGCGTCTCTGTCTCTGTCTGTGTCTGTGCCTGTGCCTGCTGCAGTCTCGAGGCTCTTTTATGATGTGCGCATAAAATATTTGTCATACTCCAAAATCTGCCAGCAGGCCAGTATTGAATTTTGTGCGCTGACTGACTGACTGGCTGACTGACTGAGTGACTGAGTAACCGACTGACTGAGTGACTGAGTATGTTCAATGCGGCTTTCTGTGGCCTCCATTAAGGTTCAGTTCGCAATCCTTTTTTTGGGGCCACGCCCCAGCTTGCATAACAAACGTATCTATGGCTCCATTTTAAGATGTGTGTGCATGTGTTTGTTTATAAATATATATACAAATGTGTTTATATACATACATATATATGTTTTGCATGCTCTGCGGCGCCTAACGAACTGTGTCATTTACACTTTTGACTTTATTGTCAAGTCGCGTCGGCTTTCAATCTCGAACTCGACTTGACTCGTCCTCTGGCCCAATATCTGGTGCTGCTGCTTCTGCTGCTGATCCTTTTGCCGTGTCAATGTGAAAATATTTGCCTCAATCCGCTTGACTGCATGCACGTTTTGACGTTGACTGCAGGGCAGCCTCAGCCGTTGCCTTACACTCTTGCCCAGCCCCAACTTGCCAACCTATTTGATTTCGCGCTGCCGCCGCGTCGCTTTGTTGACTTTTGCCCGGGACGCTTTGACGTCGATTACACAAAGCCAATAATGAAATGACTTTGGGGTTTGATTGGCAAAACATTGCGGGCTACAAATGCGAACACCATATCGCCACTGCCACGCCCACTGCCTCGTTGTGTTTGCGCTAGAATTCACGCTCTATTAATGGCGCTCCATATATATGTGAGTGTATGTGCGTTTGTGTCTATGTGTGAGGGCTCATCGTCTCTATTGTACACTGTCAACATTGGCGCTTGGAGCCACCGCTTTGATTTGCCATTTTAATTAGCAATCAAACAACTAAAAATGCGCTACCCTGTTAGTCCCCTTTCCCCTGTTTTCCATGTTCGATGTTCGTTGTTGTTGTTATTTTGTCTTTTTTTTTTTTTTTGGCTATTATTTCAGACCCTGCAGATCTAGAACGAGAACGAGGCCCATAAATAAACATTCGAGCACATCGCGTTTTTCTGACAATGTCTTTTTTATTTATGTGCGCGTTTATTTTGCTATAGGTATTGCTGTGTATTTGTATTTGCTTACATATGCCACACACACGAACACACATGTACGCACACACACACACACACACACTTTTACAACACACAAACAATACACACATGTACACAGAATTCGGTACGCAGAGCACATATCGAGCAGCATATTTGGTATTGTCTTGCCGGGGGGCATTCCACTCGAAGCTGAGCTATGAACAACGATTGATTCCATTTTCGTATGAGATATACGTTTTTGCTCCTCTCTCTCTCTCTCTCTCTCTAACTCTCGTTTTATTTCAATTTATTTTAAAGGCCAAGCCCGCCGAGGGCTTAAAGGTGGTCACATTTCATCGATACTTCCAATTACTTAATGCATTTATGGCATTATTTTTGTTGCTTTGCAGCCATTGCCAAGTGTTATATATTTGAGGAATATCTGCTTTTATTCAATAGTGAGATACAATAAATATTATTATATTAAGCTTTTAGTCGTGCTTGCAGGAGATTATTGTTTTAATCAAAAGTAAAAACAATGTTTAACTATAAAAAGTGTGTCCTTTTTAGTTCTTTATATTATTTATGGTTTCTTTTTTGCTCAGTGTGTATCAATAAATCTGGCTGTTCACTTAAATTCTCCAAAGCTAATCCTATATACTCTGCTATACCTACTCGTATATAGCATTATTATGTTTAGCCTAAGGATAATGGTGTTATCTAAAAATTGAAATATTCTGCAGGCTCAGAAGATTACCTTAACAATTATCATTTCGATTTATAATTGTATTTTTCTCATGCTTCTCATCAGCTTTTATTTCACTGTTAACAGGGTATCGCGTAGTCGATTGTTTATTTCAGTTTTGATTCGATATTAAGTTTTACATTCAAACTTACGTTCTTTGAATTCAGCAATATAAAATGAAATGCAAATTTAAATAATCTCATAAATGTTGTATTGTTTATTAGCTCAAATAAATATATTGAATATCTGTGAATTAAGCTAAGTGGGAGGAGAGTACAAGGTGAATTGTAAATTTTTTGTTTGATACATTTGTGTCCATTATGTTAAAGTTGTACAACAAATATTTGCTTTTCAGAAACTGACGAAAAATCAATTTAAAATTGAACAGAACTTCTTTGTTTGTTTTGTTTATTAAAGTCTGTTATTAAATTTGTATATTCATTTTAAATTTAATAACAAAGCTATCATTTACTTTGGCAAAGTTAACTTTATTTTTGATGTGCCTGTCGCTTAACAAATATCTCGGCCTCTTGTACGCAACAACGGCGCCTTTCTAGGTCCTGCTCCTGCCTTAGTTGGCACCGTGATGCGATTTCGATGTCGAATGTTTACATAACGCCCTGGCACAAAAGCCAATTGCTGAATGGCTCAGTCTGGCGCTCAGTCTGTTTGTTGTGTGTCTCTCTCTCTCTGTGTATGTGTGTGTCCGTCCGGTTGTCTGTATGCCCGTCTGCCCGTCTGCCGGTCTGTCTGTCTGCCTGTCTGTGTGGCATATTTAGTTACCTATATGATTTCATATCGCATGAATTTTATATAAATAAATCGCAATTGGCTTGCACACAACTCGGTACGAGTCGGCAAAAAAAAGAAAAACTCGCGCACTTGCAATTTTTGCCGTCTGCTTTATATATGTATTTTTCTTTTCTCTTTTTTTTTTTTTTATATAAATAACATTTATTTGGCTCATTTGGCGGTTTATGACCAACAAGGCGTCGTTCGCGTTGCTACCCTTCCTACACTAACGCCCCGCTCTTTTCCAGCTCAACTAACCCATACATTCATGTTTATTTTTAAGGGCTTTGGCGCTTGTCCGTTTATCGTAATTACAATCTCATGTAAGCGATTTCGCGATGCTGTTGCACAACTTTGAGGCCATATACATAAAAAGCCAGAACTGGCTAGATAGAATATATGCATATATATATTCAGATATGCAAAATGTACAATACGAGTACTGGGGGGCTCGTATAACTATGGGTATTCATACCACAATGCAGGCAACCAAATAAGACATCATTTGAAT